GGGTGAGGTCAGGTGGCTCCCTCCCTTGTGGGCTCTTTGATGCTAATTACAGAAGCTGTTGTTTCTTGGGAATTCTAGGTTTGGTTACTTTCCTGACAAAAAATGCAGAATTTTCTAGGAAACTGTTGGTACCTAAAATAAGAAATGTTCTCATTTGAATGCTAACTAGGGAGTGTCATGGTTTTTCATGTATGCTTGGAAGGAATCCCTCCAACCAGTTCTGGTAACATGAAGGTGGCTTCCTCCACGGGGTGACAGAGTCAGATAATCAGGAGTAGGCGGCCTTAGAAATCATCAGCATGCCCATATTATGATGTCTGGTGGTGTTTATTAACTAAACAAGAACCTGCTGCCCCCAGACATGTTTCTGATCAGTGTGGTGGGGTGGGGGTGGGAGGAGAGGGGCGMGAGGGCCCCCTGCAAGCCGCTGATGTGGGGCAGCTGAGGCGAGCATGAGAAGTCGGCCTGGGCTTTTGTTGCCCACTTGGAGAAGGGAAGAGGCGATGGTTGAGTACTATGTGTTACAGAAGATTACCTTGAAAATGGCGTCTCATAGGACAAGCACACAACAAGAGGAATTTAGATGACATTCATAGGATTTAGACATTGAATGGGATTCAGGGCAAGGGGTGGATGGACAGCTTGTTAAAATTTGTTGTGGGCCAGGAGAATGGCCACCTGTGCCCTTGGCATTTGCTTCTTTTCTTTTTTGCTTTCTCTCAAGGAGGCGTTGAAGTTTGAGATGGTCTTTGCTTGAGTTGTTCCTGCCCCACCAGCTGTGCGGCTTCCCAGCCCCAAGCCATCCTCTCATCTACCCTGTAGAGGGGTGGAAAGATAAAGAGCCGTCTCTGTGGATCGGATTCTCTTTATTTTTCATTTGCTGGTTTTTGGTTTTATTTTTGTGGTGCGAGGCAAACACTCTAAAAACTGAGCTATATCCCCAGCCTTGCCTGAGTTTATTTTTATGGCCCTTCCGGTAGTTTCTTCTGCTTGCTTCCTTGGTGATGGGCATTTTAATAAAATTCCACATCTGAGCAGCCCCGGCCTGTGGAGCACCTGCTTTGGAGCCCTCATGGATCCAGGGGCTCCTCTGGGCCTTCCCTGTCCTAGGGGCAGCCAGATTCTTGCTCTTGGGAGAACTTGATTTTCAGGGTGGAGTGGGCAGCCCTCCCTCTGTTTTGTAGACAAACTTAGAATCTAAGAGTCAGTGACAACAGGTCCCTTCCCAAGAGGGACTTAAAAGTTTGAAGGAGACCTCCAGACGGGGGCTGAGTGGTCCCAGCGATGATGGCGTGAGCTGAAGGGTTTTAAGAGCATGCACTGTGGGGACGGGGACAGCAGAGGAACCCGCCCAGAGCTGAGTGCAAGGGGACAGGGTGGCAGGAGGAGGAAGAGGCAGCTTCCAGAGCAGCACATACACAGTAAAGTTCCGCTGCCCAGAGCGTAGTCCAGGAGACAAGTTCAAGGACAGGGGGTGAGAGAGAAATTCAGGCCAGTCGCTGGAGGCCTTGATCTGGCCCACAGGCCAAAAACGAAGAACGAAAGGGGAAAGGAGTGATAGGAGGGGACTAAAAGGAAGTGGTGACAGCCTAGTCCTTAAAGTGACTACTTTATCCCTTTAAACTCGTAACAGTGAGAAAGACTGAGGTGGGGTTGAGCTGAACCATTCACAAAGGCATGGGGTGTCCGGTGCCCCATGCCCATGGCTGCTCCTCTCCACAGTCCAGTCTGAGCCACCTTGGATGGGGGCTTTGGAGCCCAGAGCTCCTTCCTGCAGGAAAGTTGAGGGGGGCTGGACTGACAGAAGAAAGACCCAGGAGTGCCACTTCTGTTGAGAGAAATATCCCTCCCTGACTGCAAAGAGCATCCCTGAAGGTGGATTCCTGATAAGAGTCCCCACTGGCTCTGAGCACGACTCGTATCTCTGGTTCCCAGAGGCACCCGCTCAGGGCCTCCTCCCATCCACCTCCCTCTCTGTACCCACTCTGTGAAGCCTCTGGACCCACACGCCTCTCTCTCAAGCCTCTCTGGCAGGAGCCCTGGACATTGTCCAATTCTATGAGTCAGTCTTTCCCCAAAGCAGCAGCAGGCTGAGAGTTTCCCAGGGTGCTGTTCCACACTGAAGCCCCTCTCCAAGACTTTCCCATCACATCTGGACGGGCCTGGCTGCTCATCCAGGCAGGGGGCCCAGGGCTTGAGGACACAGCTTCTTGGAAGCCAGCACATTCACAGGAACAACAGCATCTAACTCTTGCATCATGAGCCAAAGTGAAGATTGCTTTGTCTTTGGGCACTGCCATTTAATACGATATGAGCCTCAAGGGTAGAAGCTATTACTGATGGATTTCAGATAAGGAAATGGCTAACGTAACTTGCCTAAGGTAGTCAGTGGCCCACTATCTGAATCTCTAGGCAGTTAGATCCGACCACGCCACAGTGCAGCCACCTCAAAGTTTCTGGTGGATAGTCAGTTTTGTTTTTTAACAGCTAATGTTTCAATCACAATCCCCCCACCCCTCTCTCTTTACACGCACGCGCGCACACACACCCAGAGCCTGATACATAGAGGAGCTGGTAGCTCCACCTCTATGTGCTTCCCACCTATGAAATACCATATATTTCTTATTCAGCAGATCATATTGCACATTCTCAATTGACATTTTGGGGAGGTTTAGCTGCTGGTTATTGCATACTCAAGGATCCAAAAGAGATGTCCATGAAAAGCTCGCATCTCATTTGGAATGTTTCTCCCATTTCAAAATGGGCTCCTTGATTTTTTCTTTTTTCTTCTTTATTTTTAACGGCAGGAGCAAATCAGAAACAGTTTGAGTATCACTCACTGTTCATTGTCCTGTTTCTTTTAACTTTGAGGTACTCACACTCCTTTCATTCTGGACCTAGATAGCACATGGAGCTTGGGTGTAAACAGTGAGGGGATGAAATGGGTCCTGGGAAGTCCTTCTGGGGTCCCCAGTTGACAGCAGCTGGGTGGGGGTCCTAGAGCTGGCTCTCCTGGCAAACTCTTCATTCAGCTGATGATTTTTCCCAGCTCACCACCTGTCCCAACCGCCATGAGACAGCAGAGTCCATGGCTCAGAAATGGATTCAGATGCTAGCTGGGGAGGTAACTCAGTAATCCTAACCTTAATGGATTTCTCAACTGTGCAATGGATAGTGCTTAGGAAAGCAGGCAGCAGTGCTCTGGCTCACAGTGAATGTTCTCTAGAGACTTTAAGAACCATAAAAATGCCCATCTAACTAAGGTCAGCTGTGTGAGCTCACATGACTGGAAGGCTGGGGATGGGGCCCAGGGATCCTGGCATTCCCTCCAGCTCCGTGAGGCCATGGGGGAGCATCTGTCAGAAAGCCTGTTTCACTCAGTGCCAGCCCAGTGTGACAAGCTCGGAGWGGGTTTTGACAATGCAGAGATCCTGCCCTAACTCTGGACAATATAAGTGTTCTGGGCCTCAGCTTCATATATGTCACATGTGGGTAGTGACTACATGATTTTAAGGTTTAAGGAAGAATTGCATACATTGGAGTCCTCAATCTGTTGAATGAATGAATTGCTTTGACACAGGCTCCTCAGTAGAGATGTTGAGAAACCAGACCCAACAATAGTTTCCAAATTCTGAATCTAAAGTCTAAAATCAAATCTAAATTTGATTGACTCTTATTGAACTTTCCAGGCTTCTAGAATATCTTTCCTCTTTAACTCTTCCTTTGCTCCGCACAGTCCCATCTCAAGTCCTTACTGCCATCTCTCCAAACACTGTTTCTGATGGATGGCCTCTCTGTGGTCGAGACAGCAGTGCTCAGCAGCTGCTCCACGTGGTCTACCTTTCCCAGCTCCCCTGCACTTAGACCAAGGCCTGCAGGTTGGCCAATGGATTGTGACTGGGGGTGACATGCATCATTTTGATCTAAGGCAGTCAGAACACTTTCAAGTTCACACTCTTTTTTTACCATCAGTAACACATGAAGGAAAAAAAAACCAAGATGGTAGAGTGGCAAGGCAGAAGCTGGCTAGATCCCTGGGCGACTAGAGGAAAGCCATTAGAGAGACTTGTGTGATTTGCATTATACTGTCACATAGATGAAAAAATAAAACTGGTTTAAGTTACTGAGTTTTCTTGGTTGCTTGCTTCCATCTCATCTAGCCTAGACTAATATATCCTTCCCTGAGGTATTTCATTCTAGGAAAGATTCTAGGGGAAAAAGCAATGAAAAAACACAGTGCAAATAACTTTTCATGGTGGAATTTTAGGCATCTGTAGAAAAAGATTTGGTGTCAGGGAATGCCTCGATGCTACCAAAGTCAGGGCACATGAGCAACACTGTATGCCTCCTGAATGCCTATGTGGCATGAAGAATGTGAAAATGATCCAAAAGAAGAAATCTAAAGCCCAGTTTCTAGATAAGAACAAAACTAGGAAATCATTTTCTGGAATGAATTTCCCATTTTAAGAAACTTACTTGGGCTGTTCCAAAAATCTGTTAAGGGTCCCCTAAATATATAACTTGGATCCATTTAGTAATCCACTGGAAAATAATAATGCTGAGAAACACTTGGAAATAATGAGATAAATGATGATATCATGTGGCTTGTTGACTGGACTTAGACTACATGCCCTTTGGGAAGAACTTTCCTCCTTCTAGAGGGCCTCCTGGCTTCTGGACGACTGTGGAAGATTTCAAGATCATCTAGATGGTAGCCATTGTGGAGCTGGGAAAGGCTGTCAGGAGGAACACAAAGTACTACCTCAGATCTACATCCAAGTTGGATTTTATAAAAGGTGTCCCCACTGAGTGACTAACAGTCTGGCAAAGCACCCTCTCTGAAGGAAGTTTCCTAAGGACATCATTCTTGCCCCCAAATGCTCATGACACATGCTGGTGGAGAGGACCCCCTCCAACTGGCTTTCCCTCAGCTTTTCACCTGACTCTCAGTGGGCTTCCAAAAGGCTTATTGACTTATCTGGAACCCAGAACCCTCCTGATTAACACTCCAGATACAATCCCTTCGGGTCTGGCAGCATATGCCAACCAAGTCCCAAACCAGTTTATTAGTTTAACCAAAAGGTAAACAGATGATGGAAATGCAGAGAGACAAGCATGCGAGCAGCTGAGAGCATTGCCCGGCTGTCCACCAGGAAGCAAACTAAGACAGTTAAAGTAGCATTAAATAAATGAGGCCATGTTTTATCTACTTTGGAATTTCCATTATCTTTTAAAAAAGGTAAATATATATATATATATACTTTTTTTTTTTACATTGCAGTATATAAATCTAGGCTCTACATGTACAGTATAAACACAGGGCGAGCACATGGACACAACATGTATGTCTTGGTAGCCACACCCTAGACCAGGCCAATGGTTCTACATTTTCTTTTTGACCTTTGCACCAGGCTGGGGCTACCTTTACTTCAGTCTCCATGATGGCTGTGACCCTGACCCTCTCTCCTCCCCTCACAAAAGCATAAATTGGAGGCTCACAAACAGAAGAAAGTGCTTTCTCGACTAGTTGAAACCCAGTCGATCTTTACAATGCACAGTCCAATCTCCTAGAAAGACCAAGGAAATCTGAGGACTTTCTGGCTCATTCTTTGGTCCGTTACCACAAATCTCTGAACTTGTTTGGGTGTTTCTTGTAGAATTCATGTCTATTTACATAACATCAATCCCACACAACCTTTGGGAGCTGTAACAGGATTAGAAATTTTTTAAAAAGATCCATGTTACAATCTGTACTTCATATTCTGGGTTCATTCTTTTTATTTTTGGAATAAAAACTGGTATTTTGGGAAATTCTTTTCTTAAAAAAAGATAATCTGAAAGTGCTTCTTACACATATCAACTTCCCACATATGGCTTTTTAGTTCAAACCCCAGCATAGCTCAGATTTGGAAGGGAGACCATGATGGTGTTACTAGAGACAAAAATGTCACTTTAATGTGACACTGTTGTAGCCAGTATGGGGCCTGAAAAAACAACATTATCAATTCCATCTGGACAAATGTACCTCTTTGAGAAAGGACTGAGATAATATATGCAGTCCCATTTCTTTCCCCATGACTAGGCACAGGAATGCTATAAAAGTTAATAAGCAAAATAGATGCTGTTATCAGCAGGGATCATCTTCAAGGGGCTATTAACAGGATAATTGCTGTTCAGGAATCTTTCACAGGTTCAAAATGATTAAATGAAGTCAATCGCAGTAGAAATGTCTACACCTGAGGAACAAATTGCACATAATAGAGGTACTAGGATCCAGATGGCAAAGGACTCCAGACAATTTTACATGCAAACGGTGATCAGAAAAGGCAAGGAAGTAGTGGCATTCCAAGACAGGTAAGGGTCCATCCAAACAGGTCATCATTCTTTTGCGCTTTCTTTCCTGGCTGATAAGTTACTGAAGAACATGGCTATCTGTGCAACAATGAGTATGATATGTTCTTTAGGAGAGAAAACAAACACAACAGGGTTTCCAGAAATCGAACCGGGCTCATGTTGACTCTAGAGGTGTTGTGATGGCGACCAGTGGGGCACAGGGGCCTCTGGAGTCCCTCCTTGCCCTCCTGGGGAGCAGAGAGTGGCAGATGCAGGCAGAGGTAGGAGGCCACTGACTCATCCAAACCCTTCCCAAAGTGGCATTTCATTCAGCCTGTGGCAGTTCCGGCCCCCTGCAACTGTTTTATCTGGTGGCACTTGATTGAGAAAGAAATCCTCTCCCTTTACCAAAATTAAGCCCAGACTTCAGGTAATACTGGCACAAAGGACAATCTGCATTCCTAGGGTTGACCCTGGTAACTCAGAAGGTAGGAGTTTCGGTTCTCGGTTTCTTCTATTTCCCTGTAAAAAGTGACCTCAATTTCTTAGGTCATTGTGCAAATTTGTTTTCCATAGTCCAGAATATCCCATAAAGTCCCTCTTATATATCTACATATATATACACACATACACACTCAATATATGTGTATATATATATTTACACATGTGGATAATTTTGTATTTCAGCTTCAAATAGGTCGAAGAAAATCAGTGACTAGTTCATCCTTTTCTTGTCAAGTCATGTCCAATCTCCCCACATAGTGCTCTGCACACCTTAAGTACTCAATAAATATCTGCTGATGTCACCAATGATCCTCTAACACTGGATGGTCATTGCAATCACCACAGCCTTCCTCAGCCCTGCTCGGCCTGTGGCAAGCGAAGGGCCACGTGTGCCCCTTTCAGAGAGTGATCTTGCTGTGTCTGTTGCTCCAGCAGCCCCGTTTAGCTGTCCTAGGCAATGTCAAGCTCGTCCGGCTGCGCAGTTTCACCTGTTCTTCTATGGGGTTCTTTTTGCGTAAAATGAAGTCAAAGTTCACTTGGCTGTTCATGGCATAGAAGACATTTGCTGAGTCTGGGATCACAAGTTCTGAAAAACAAAAGGAAAGTGAAGGCAGTCAGCTTACGTAGGGGCCCATAACAGGCCATGACAGCGGCAGGGATAAATCTTGCCCAGACACAGGAATGGGATGAGGGCCCTTAGTTCTTGGAATGTGACCACTACCCACAAAATTGGTCCCAACAACATCTCAATCCCCTTCCAAAAAACTAAGAGCAACTAAGGTTTAAGATACCCGCTACCATGAATTTAAGGTTAATTAACAGAAGCAGAAGCCAAGAGAAGTTGTGACTCCCAGGACCACAGCTAGGGGGCAGCAGGACTGGAACCAGAACTCGGCCGTCCTTATTCTGGCGGTCCATTTTCCAAACGGGAAAGCAGATTTTCACTAAGACTAAAGGAACCCAATGACATGGGAACAAACAGAAAATCTATAGCATTTTCTAAAATGCTTCACTTGGAATACAAAACATCTTTTTAAAGTAACCCCACATTGGCCCAGTTATTCTACTTGCATCACTGTTTTGTCCAGAGTCTGCATTTTCATATTAAATAAACACCCATGTGAAGCAGTGCCTATCTGCTAACATCTAAACCATTTCTGACTTCAGCAAATCTCAACCAGTTATCTGCAATTTCTGAACAAGGATTGCTCTGAGTGTGATATGAAATTATCAAAGCAAAGTTATTTTCATTTTTATTTTTAAGAGATGATTTGTAGTATTTTAGCACTCAGGCATAACAGGTTTCTTTTAAAAAAAATTCAAACAGAATAAAAATGGAAAATGTGCACGTTTAGCTTTGTGGCAGTGGAGTGGGGAGGTGACCCACAGAACACGACTGAAGGAGCCTTAAGAAAACTCTCTAGCTGAGACCCCCCAGCAAGATTGATGCCAACAGCCTCTAGGTGACCATGGTACATTTTGTGCACAGTTGTGCCATAAAGCAAACCCCCCCAAAGTATTCCTGGGCTCCTGCCCACCCTTAGCATATCCTCAGCACACCTTCAGGAACATTATTTTCTATAATCTTCAGTATCGCCCACAATGCATGAGGAATCAGAGGGTATTATATACATTTAACTGGTTATAGCCAATGGCCTGTGGAGGTCGAGGGCTTGTCTGAGACCACACATCTGGTGGTCGCAGCTGGGTCCTGGCTGCACCTCAGGGCTCCTGGGTCTTCAGAACCACTACTCTCACCAGGCGTTGTTGTGGGACATATGGCAAAATCCCAGAGACAAATTCTGGGCTTAGAATCTTAACTGCAACTGCACTAAAAAGTTATAACTAAGGAAGTTTTGTCCCCACACAGAGGCTCAACTGAAGGAATGACAAAACCTCCAAGAGGTAGTTGAAGGAGTTTCTCAGAGACTGTTGCTTTTCATTTCCTGGAAAAGCCACTAGTTTAGTTTTAGCCCTTCCCCTCTGAGCCCGAGAGAGAGGCCTGGGTGATTTGCTGGTCAAAATGGTGTGAACAGCTGTTCCCTCTGCTCACCCCCAACTTGTACGATTCTGCTCTTCCTTTCTGGGGAGAGCCTTCCTTGCAGATGAACAGAGCCCTCCATTAAGACACAGCAGCACTGTTGGCTGTGTCAGCAGACAGAGCTGGCCTCACTGACTATGTGTGCGGCTGCCCTACACTGAAAGAGACTTGTTCTGGCCGAGTCACTCCCCTGCCTTGACAGAGGACTTATTAACCAGCCTGTCCCCTTTTCTCAAGAAACTATCCCAATTCAAATTAGCAAATAGATACATCCAGAGGTGACTGAGTGAAATAATGAGAAATTCTTATACGAACCGCTAACTTTCAGGTTCACACACTACTGAGAAACACATTACTGGGTAAAGGAGGCATGTAACCATCTGCAAAAACCCAACAGACTACCTCTACCTACTCCCCACCTCCTGACAGAGAGAGCTTTCCTGAGAAAAATGCTCATAAGAAATATACAAAGAATGGGCAGGAGGAATTCTCAGCAGGAATGCAGGATAGGGTTGGGGCTGTGGCTCAGTGGTAGAGCACTTGCCTGGCATGTGTGAGGCACTGGGTTCAATCCTCAGCATTGCATATAAAAAAATAAATAAAATAAAGGTCCATCAACAACTTATAAAATATATATGTATATATGTATATGCATATATACATGTGTGTGTGTATATACATGTGTATATATATATATATATATATATATATATACACACACATATATAAAAGATAAACAAGAGTTGGGGGTGGGGGTTGGGCAAAGCTGCTTGAGATGCTCAATTCTCCAAGGGAGATGACAGCATGATGTTCACCCTGCTGTTCACCCCTGAACGATTTACAAAACACCCCTAGGTTCCAATTAAAAAAAAAAATGATCTCCTTCTGCCTCCACCAACTGGAGACCAATATGATATGCTGCAACAAGAAGGAGCATGTGCCCACCTTTGTCCTCTGAGATGACCTGCACCAGCTCATACTCCTCGGCTGGGTCTGAGTCCAGGTTGTGCTTCAGCATTGCTCTCTGGATCACAGCGGGGGTTTTATCTTGGCTTGTCAACTGCAAAGACAAGGAATTTTTGTAAAGCAGCTCCATGCTTCCTGGGAGCACTCTCTTGACACTCTCATTCTTGCTGTCTTGTGTTGTACAGTCCTCTCTGGGAAGAAGGGACTCTTGGCATGAGAACAGTGATATAAGGACATTAAAATGGGAGAACACCTGCACGGCCTGTTGCCCCCGCAACAGTCAAAGTTACAATGAAAGAGTATATCCACAAAGGGGTCTGAAAATGTAACACACTATCAGTGCTGGACCAAGATGAGCCTTGTGTGTTGAGCTGCTGCTATGGGACCAGTTACAACAAGATGGCTACAGTTATGCCACATTCCAGAAAGCACGTGACCCTATGTAATCCCACTCCTACGTATTTACAAAGAGGAATGAAAGCAAATGTCCAAAAAAGGACACATACACAAATATTCACAGCAGATTTATTTAGACTAGTCCCAAACTAGAATCAACCTGAATCTGCATCAACAGAGAACAGAAGATAGCAAGAAGAAACTGTAGCATATTCACAACAGAAGAAACCAAGAAGTGGCTTGTGCAAAAATGTGGATGAATCTCAGAAGCCAGGCCCAGAAGATGACACATTACTGGAATCTATTCTTTCAAAAACAAAAGGAATGAAAACTCCTGTGTTGGTGGTATTAGAAACTAACCTCAAGGTTTAAGGAGGACCAGTTGGAAGAGGCATAGGGAATTTTAGGGGGATGGCAATGTTCTCAATTTAGATTTGGAGTGGTGGTTATGCAAACATATACAGTTATTAAAACTCAAAGAACTGAACTCTTAAGATCTGTATGTAAAATTATATGTAAATTATGTTTCAATAAAAATCAGCTTCTAACTGTCTTAAAAGCACAAGTCTGATTTTCTCTTCATCTCTGCCCCAGTTAGCCACTGCAGGGCCACACTGGAGGGCTGACTTATGCTCCATACCTCAAGTGATTTCTTTAAACGTGACAGAAGTAAGGAAAACTCAGTTATTCTTGCTTAAAACAAAAAGCTATTCTCACCAGGAGGTAAGAGGACTGCAGAGAAACACACACACACACACACACACACACACACACACACACAGTCTAATCTCTTCCAAGACACTCTGCCAATGTGACCCGAGGATGGCAGTGCCTAGATGCCTCCCTCTACTCAGGGCAGCAGCTGGTGTTTGTGATTCAATAAACAACATGCATTACAATGGGTCCTTGTAAGCAATAAAGATCTTGTTCACTTGTCTATTACCAAAATGTCTGGTATATCCATTTGCAAAAGGAAAATTGGTGCACAGGAAATTCTTCAGAAGGAAAATAATTTTTCAATAGTTCGAAGGAAATTCTTTCCAAACTGGGTCAAACCGAACTAACAGCATGAAGCTTAAGGACACCACCGGGGGGTGAATATTAGGCTCCAGCCTTCTATTTAAGCATAAAGCCAGGCTACAGATTGAAGGAGGCCAAAGGCTGTCCTTGGGATTTTAGTACTTTGTACCTAGAAGCTCCTGAGGAGAACTAATGGTCACAGTAACTATTAGCTCAGTCATGCAACCATATACTGTTATATTGAACCAACCCTGCCAACAGATATATGATGTGAGCCATGTGTCCATTAAATGTTTAGCAGACACATCTAAAAAGTTTTTGAAAAATAAAATTTAAAAAATTACATCTCTGCTCCTTCATCAGTTGGAGAATATAATGCTAAGTGAAATAAGCCAATCCTAAAAAATCAAAGGCTGAATGCTAATTCACAATAGGGAGGGTAGGGCACTAGAGAAGAATAGAGTTACCTTAGATTAGGTGGAGGGAAGTGAAGGGAGGGGAGAGAGGGAATGTGGGATAGGAAGGGTAGTAGAACGAAACAGACATTATTGGTTTATGTATACATGTGACTGCATGACCAATATGATTCTACAACATGTATGTCAGAAAAATGAGAAATTGTATCCCATTTACATATATATATCAAAGTACGTAAATGCAGTCTACTGTCATGTATAACTAATTAAAACAAATAATTTTTTTCTCTAAAATATTGCTTTTATAGCACTGGGGATAAAACCCAGGGCCTTATACGTGCTAGGCAAGTGTTCTTCTACCATTGAACTACAATGCCAGCCCACAAAATTAATTTTAATATATTTTATTTAACCCAATGCATTCAAACTGTTATTGTCAATATAAAATCAATAGAAAAATTATTAATGAGATATTATAATTCTTTTTTTTGTACCAAGTCCTCAAACCCTGGGATGTATTTTATACTCACAGCTCATCTCAGTTTGGACTTAGCCCATTTCGAATGCTCAATTGCCACATGTGGCTGGTGGCTCAGTTAGTGCATGAGGCTTCAGTATCACTTTCATGCACATTCCTGAAACCATAAACACTGCATTAAGAGATCTCAGGAAATCTCTGGGATTACCAAATGGACAGAAATGTCACTGAGAGCGTTCTGGTGGTAGAAGACACTTCTTGGCCTGGGGTTGTGGCTCAGGTGTAGACTGCTCGCTTAGCACGTAAGAGAAGCCATGTGAGCAGGCCATGCTGAAAATGCAACCTAACAAAGGACCTTGCTTCCCGGAGGTTCTCTGGCCTTCTGAGGCTCTTTTACAAGCCCTTCCCTCACTCCCAGTCAAGCTGTGCCGCATCATACACTCACTCCCACATGACTATGTCCACCCTGGTGGCTGGACCACTCCTAGTACTCATCTCAGCACCGGCCTCCTACCACCCCTGCCTCTGACTGTCCATCAGGCAATGCCTGGTCCTCCTGGTGCTCTGACTCAGATGCCCTCCCAAGCCTGGTTCTCCAGTAGTCTGCATCTCACTTGACAGAGCCGCACTACACCAAGATGCCTGGCCAGACTCTCATCCGCCCGTCCCACATCCCCCCAGAGTAACTGAAGCTACATAACATCTCCTAAGAAGCCTTCCCTATGTATCCACCATATGACTGTCATCCAAGCCCATCTCACCTCCTACCCGCTCCTTTCCTAGTCTCCCCCACTCTCTAGCAACAGGTCTCCCAAGGGCAGCTGCTTTGCTGATGAACAAGTCTGACTACTAAAAAGCCTTCAATGAGAGCCCACCGCCTGTAGGATGAACACAAACTCCTTTGTGTGGGCCACAAGACCCTGTCCAATCTAATCTGGCCTCTGCTAGAGCCTTTAGCATATTCTGAATAATGTTTCATGATCTCCCCTTTTTTATGATAACCTTTTTTATTATCCTCAAAGACAGAAATATCTCATTCTTGTTCCTATCTCAAAGCCTGGTCCCATGACTAATATACTCAGCAAATGTTCAGTAACTACTTTGTAGATTTGAGGAATGTCTTAGCAAAGATTTTCTCTGGAATGTTAAAGGACAGCGCCTCCACACCACTGTGTCACAGGCAGTCCTCAGCTTGCATTTGCTCACTGGGTCCTCACAGAGGTGAGTGGGGAGGGAGGTGTGGAATTAGCTATGGGATTCTGCTGCAAAGGAGAATCTGACTTTCAAGACCCGAGAGGCCCTATCAGCAAGGAGTCTGTTTCTGTAATAACATAGTAGACTTCACGCACCCACCATGGGAATCTCTGTGTGTACTCCAAAAAGATGGGCATTATTAAAAGCATTTTTTAACTATCCTAAGGAAAAGGCAGTTTTTATAAGAAACTTAAAACTGTATCTCCAGCTTGATCATCTACTTTAGTAACATCAGGTTTGATCCTGATGACTAAAGGAAGAAAAAGTTCACCAGGAAGCACAAGACTAAGAATGCACATTGACTCAATTATAAACCCTGATGCAAGACAACTTCCAAGAAGGTAGGAGCCCAGGGCATCTTCCCTGGAATATAGCCATACAGTCACCCAAACTGAAAATTTTGAAAAGGATGACACTGAACTGGATGAATAATTTTTAGATGTAAAAACTATATCCTGTGTGCACTGTTGGTATACATACTTGATGGAAATATACGACTCATCCACACCCAGGGAGAAGTTGGCATTTGGACACAATCATTCTGTGTGAACGTACAGATGTGGGAATATCGCACTCATTTAGGGGTGTCCTCTGGGGGGACCGCGCAGACAGAAACCCCATCTCCTTACCATGATGCTCTTGTACATGTTGCCATTGTTGTCTTCTATACTGATGCGGATTATGCAGGTGTCTTCGTTCTGTTGGTTGTAAACAGGAGGCAGCACTGTGGAGGTAATGGATGTCACGGAGACGGAGCGCTTGTGGATTTTAGGGTTGTTGTTGCAGGATGGAGGGGAGGAGAGGGGGTTGATTAAGGATGACATCCCTGAGGAATTTGTATCCATGGAATGGATGGAGGAACAAGAGGAGGAGGACTCAGAGAGCTGGAAGAGCAAACACATCCCAGAAGGAAACTATCAGAACTTGGCCAACAGTGCACTTTGCAATTTTCAAATCAGAGGTAGCAATAGAGAGCAATAAACTTCAAATATTTTCCCCACAGCAACTTGCCTCTGGTGTGAGCGCCTCCCACTCCCATGGCACATGTTTACCTGTGACTCAGGGTGACCTAATCACTGTATCCAGGTGTTCTCTCACTTCCCTAGTTTTTAACTGTTCTTACAGAAGCTAACCAGCAGATGGCAGCAGATACCAGAAACCAGAGGCAATATGGGCTCTGGAAGGAAGGAGGCTTAAAGGGCTGGAGGAAAGCCTTACAACACTTGATTCAGTCTCATGGCCTTGAGCCCCAAAGTTCTCAACGTGGCCACGAAGAACATTCTAACCTGATTTCACTTCATAATTGGTTTTGTTGTAGGAGGAAAAGTCTGTGTTGTTAGATATTTCCAGGATGAGGACCACAGATGACAGAGCTCAGAGTAGAACATTCCTGCTGGAAAGGCCCCTGGAGGTCACCTGGGCCCATTCCCTTTCTAAGGCCAAGGAGCCTGAGACCCAGAGAGCACACTGGCTCCAGGTTCACCCGGCTAGCTGACTATACTACCACGACAAGCACCCAGTTCCTTGACCCCCACCGTCGTGTTCACAGAGCAAGCGCGAAGTTTACATGGGGAATTAACCCAGCATCTTCGCTACATTCAGCCCTGTGAGTTGGTGATCAGCTTTCATATCTTACCTTATTTGGATCTTGCAACTTTCTTGTAAACAAAAAGCAGAGCATTATAAAGTTGAGGAGAATAAGATTCAGAGAATAAAGTGACTTGTCCAGGAGACACAGCCTTTGAGCAGTTCTGCCACTTTCTACACTGGCTGCTACAGCCAACCATGTATATGTTCATGTTCTATCAAGAACAGTTGGGGAATGGGGTGCTACTGTTAATGTGGCTTTTGTGATCAGCCATTTATTTATCATACATGCAATATCAATGACATACTGAAGACATGCAAATAGAGAGGAAGCTAAAAATTCAATAGGATTTATCCCCCCCCCTGCAAAAATCATTAAGGTCAAACATTTTAGAGATCAGTTCTTATTGTAGAAAATTATGAGTAATTTCTAAGAATTAGTGAAATTAAATTATACCATATTAGTCTTATAAAATATTCTGAAAACCATTTAGAAAACAAGAGTAATTTCTTCCATCTTTGTGTGCCCTTCTGTGGAAACGGACTAAGAATTTTAGCTTTCTGATAATCTTGCTTCTAAGGAAATGGAGTCTCCTTTGTCATATTTCCTGGGGGCTTCTCCTTCCTGAGGCATAACTACACATTAAACTCTACTGCGTGGTTTGTTTAATGACAGCCAGGAAGCTCATATGATAATTTTGGTAGAGAGTCTAACTGTGTAGCTCTATCATAATGTGGTTTCATTACATTAAAAAAATTTTTTTTTTTTGCTTATATTCCCAAGGGAATCGCTGTGAGGGTTGAGGGTGGATCATTTTACAGCATAACTTTTCTTGTATTAGCCAAGAAAGGTCCACCTTCATTTTTTCACCTTCATTTTCCTCCATGCAAACTTTTTTGTTAGACTTTCCATGATTCTAACAACATTTATAATTAAGGCAAAGCCTTGAGGATGACTGGGTTATAGGAGTTCTAATGGTGAGCGGTTCTACCTAATGAACCCTCAAATTCTTACTGAGAATTGAAGCGGTGAGGAGCAAGTGTAAAAATAAATGTTCAGGAATCAGATCAGGAGGACGAAGCCAGAGAGGCCCCAGTTACGCCTCCACCCGGCTCTCAGGAGCCCACCTCACAGCTAGCTGTGGAAAAGGAGCGTGGCCAGCCTGAGGGCTGCTGGTGTCCTCACAGGACTACAGAGTAGTACTGGACTCTGGAAGTCCCCAGGCCTTGCCATGCACTGAGCAGAGAACCAAGGGCCTTTCCCAGTGACATGCCGGGACTCTGCAGCCCAGGAGCTCCCTGCACCCAAGGCAAGCATCCACCTTTCACTGTGCAGAAACTCCAACTGTGAGGAAGGTTCATCCAAAGAATACAAAGCCACGACTCGAACAAGAAATCAGAGAGACAGTGTGGTAAGAGATGAGGCGAAAGAAAGCCAGGGAGGTGTGAACGACAGCACGCGGGCTTCTGCATGGTTTCAGAAGGAATGGCCTACACTTAGACACGATTCCTCTGCACCTCTCCATCTCCTTTCCAGAGAGGGAGGAATCCCTCGCAGATGCAGGCAATGCCTCAGAAGCCCCTCTTCTACATCATCCACCATCAGTTATGGGGCCTGACCACATAAGAACCCATCGGACACTTCATGCTAGATTTGGACAGATCCAACACTGTGTGTCAGTCAGACCATGGAGAATGGTCACATTCCTGGTTTAGGAGACATGACTCCTGAGAGGATAGACAATGCCGGGGCTTTTCCTTCAACACTGGGAGCATGAAGGACTGAATCTCCTGGACTCAGAGCAGAAAGGGGAGAATCCCACTGGGGCAGCATTTGAGTATCTCTTTCCATGACTCCTGAGCCTGATGCCACTGCTCGACAAAGTCACTTCAGGGATCCCAGATAACACGTTACTGCTGATGACACCATGTGAAGAAACACAGGTCCCCTTGCAGAGCCAGATACAAATGAAGTGGAGGAACCGTAAGCAACACGGCACCTCATCAGCCCAAACTCAAGCTAAGAAGCCAGAGGTCACCACACAGCAAGTTTGGTGGCCCAAAATCCCCATCAAATGGTGTAAGTTCCAATCATAGCAAAGCTCATCTCTGACGCAAGCTCCTTGCCCAGAAGCAGATGTGTACACAAGAGTGCACATTCTCTTCACGTACTTATGCAGCCATGAAAATTGGAAACTCCACGAGAATTCCTGTATCTCTTCTCATTACTGTCCATCTGTTCAGACACCAGAGGCTGTCTGACCACTACAACTCTTCACCCTCCCCTGCACTCTGCACCCATGCTCTTTGCTATTCTTTGTCACAGGGAGCATGTTTCCCTGTAAGACTTGGCCGTGTGATTGCTTTAGCCAGTGTAATTAAAGGCTTGCTGTGTGCTTGCAGGGCTGGTCTCGCCCCTTCCTCAGCTGTCTTAGCGTGCTAACAGCATATGCTGGGTAGCCTATTAGTCCAAAGAGGGGCAGGAGGTGAAGCAGACTTGGACCAAACTGTGGCCTAGGGCCAAGCCTGACACAAACAAGCCAACCCCTTAGATGTATCTGAAAGAATAAATGGCTGCTGTCTCAAGTTGCTGAGTTTTAGCGTGGTTTGTTATGCAATATTATTATGGTAAAAACTTGGCCAAGGCAAGGTACGGAACAAACAAGTTGACACATCTCTGTCTCTGGCTTTTGCACTCCTTCTAAGCAATCCTGCTTCTCCTGAATAAAGTATAGTTTATGTTACAGGTCACAACCCTCCAGAACCTTTAGATGTGGTTATGGGATAGTAATTCAAAGGCCAAATGAAGAAAACAACCTTCTTCCTGCTTTTCTACCTATCTCTATAAGGAATGGGTTCTAGATTGAACTCTGCTTTTGATACCTCTTTTAAAACTTGACTTTGAAAATATTGCAGAGCGATAAACTTTTTAAAAGCAAACATTCCTTGTGTGGCAAACATTATGTCAGGCGCCCGCAGCAGGAATGAAGAAGAGGGCTGAGCAGATACCTTCTTCTGAGGCTCGTCGGGTGTGTCCATGGGAGTAATAGAGCCCTCCTCGGCCTCGGAGTGGTTCGACTCGCAGGATGACACGCTCACGGAGTCCATGCTTTCCCCAGAGCTCCCACTGGCTGTGGACTTGGGCTGCTCTTTGGTGGGAGTGCTACTGGTGATGATGTCCGACCCCAGAAACAGTCTGCAAAAAGACAAGAGGCCAAGCGTTTGGGCCATTATCAATCTGGATCCATGATGGAGCAAATATTTTGTGCTGATTAAGTTTTTGTTGTTTCTCAATCTTGTAATCTTGACAGGTCATTAGTATTTTAGAAAAATGTTTGCTATAAATAGGTTTCTAATGACTAGCAGTAAACATTTTGTCCCAATAAGTTATTTCCAGCTTCAAAGTACACATAGACTGCTTAGCTGACTAAACTGGGGTCTTTCTAGGTCAATGGCCCTTCATCTTTTAACAGGGATCAAAACATCATCACCATACCCTATCGCCCCTACCCTGAGAGGAACTTCATGAGACTGAAGAAGGTCGTCATGCTTTGAATAAGAAACCAAGGAGGAAGACTTCAGCTTCCAACTATCGGGTGACCTACAATAACCCAAACCCTTCCCCTATAAAACAGTGTTTAAAACTCCTTTCAGTTGAGCTTGCAAGACAGTAAGGGACATCCCTACAGGACATAAATGAAAAGGAACTGAAAACTGGAAGCATGTGAGCTATTTCTCCAGCTGCTCTGCTAAATGGGAAGCACAAATTACAGCAAAAGAGTGGCATATTTTATAAAAACGTATTAAACACATATTAATTATACATATTAATGGAGTTCAGTGTGATTTGCCACATATGCATATAGCATGCATTGATCATGGGTTTTAACACAGAGGACTCAGAGATGAGGGATTCGCTTTATAAAAGGTAGAGAGTTAAAACCAAAACCCCTTATATAAAGCCAGGGTCCTCAAAAGTCTGTACTCTCAGTAAAGAGAATGCCTAGAAAAATGTCTTCCTACTGACACAGGAAGATAGCAGGGAAGCTTGTCTGTCTTGGATGGAAGAAAAATGTCTCCTGGAAATCATGTATGAGCCTGGCCTGTACCTCACCCGGATTAGCTACCTATGAGGTCTAGAAGTTAGGAATTCTCAGGCCAAGACATCCCTGGGAGAACGTAAAGGAAGGGAAAAGAAATGAGAGAAGAGGTATGGAGAGGAGAGGAGAGGAGAGGAATGGAGAGGAGAGGAGAGGAGGAAAAAGAAAAAGAAATTTTTCTAGAGGGATATACCTACAACCAGACTATGGAGAATTCCCTGATAAAAATGAGCTCATAATAAAATTTTTTTTTAAAGAGAGAAAGAGAGAGAGAGAGAGAGAGAGAGAGAGAGAGAGAGAGAGAGAGAATTTTTTAATATATTTATTTTTTAGTTTTCAGTGGACACAACATCTTTATTTTTTATTTTTATGTGGTGCTGAGGATCGAACCCAGTGCCCCGCGCATGCCAGGTGAGCACGCTACCTCTTGAGCCACATCTCCAGCCCCCACAATAAAAATTATAAAAATACATACAAAGAAGTATTCCACTCAAAGGGAAAGTCAAAAGGCATAACAAACAACAGGTTTATTTTTACTTTTTTTATTTTTTGGTATTAGGGATTGAACCCAGGGGTACTTAAGCACTGAGTCACATCTCCAGTTATTTTGGTGTCTTTATTTTGAGACAGGGTCTAGCTAAGTTGCTTAGGCTGGCTTTGAACTCACAATCCTCCTGGCTCAGCCTCTCAAACCACTGGGATTATAGGTATGAGCCACCACACCTGGCTCAAACAACAGGTTTAGACTCCTGAAAATTTCAGATATGAGAACTGTCAGAAAAAAACTTGTAATTTATTCATTCATTCAACAAAGGATTGCATGTCTACCAAAGACAAAGCTATAAAATAAGTATGATTTAAAATATTAAAGACATAAAGAGAAGAAAATAAAAACAAGAATTTAGAGCAAGCCACTGACAAAAAACACAAGAGAATAATTTGAAAAATTTTGTTTCCAAGTGAAAAATATAACTGAAATTAAAAACTCAGTAGAAGGGTTAAATAACTGTGGAAGAGAAAACTCATTGCTAGATTCATGAAAAATTATGAATGGATCTAAAGAAAGATCCTCAGTCATCAGCATCAAAGATAAAGACAAGGTAACAGAGCTTAAAAGACAAAAATAGGAGTTTAGGTTTTATTCAGAATACCTTCAGAGGTTTCTATGTAAGGAAGCAACATCATCTATGTTCAAAAGATCACCAGGCTATTAGTGGAGAACGCAAGCCAGAGCAAGGGGACAGCCCAGAGACAACAAAGACGTTGGCAGGGTGGTCTACACAGGAGGTGACGGAGGTTCACACCAGAGGAAGGAGCAGAGAGGAATGAATGCATTTAACAAATGTTCTGAGCTCATGACAGAAAGATCAGCTATTTGAGTGTCCTTCACTTCTACCCTGACTCATGGAGACCTGGCTGGATACATTTCCTCTCCCCCACTCTGCTGAGMCCTTCCCTGGGCCACAGGAGCCCTGGGTGGTACTCACAGGCTGAGCCTCTTCACCATGCTCTTCCGAGGCTTGGGAGACGTGGTGCTGGCCTCAGCAGCTGCTTCAATCTCACAGGAGAGGGCGTAGCTGGGAAAGAGAGGGGTGCTGATGAGGTCGAAGTTGGAGAACTGAAGAACAGGTTTAAATTCACATGATTTATTGGTTTTTATTTTAGAGGAAACCTCTGACTGTCAGAGGGTACTTACTTACTGGCCAGATTTTAAAATTTTACACTGTGAGGCTTATCCCCTCATTCCACCCACTGGCACCTGGATTCAGGCCATTTGGTTCTGCAAGCTTYGCATACCAGGATCGTACATGTGTCAGCGTCAAAAGCTGACTCCACTCTATTTTCTGATCATTCTTCTCCCACTGCCAAGCCAGGGGAAGAGTCGGCCTCCATCACTTCCCTCCTGTTTCTYCTCTACCACCTCCGTCTAATTACTTTGTGTATTTGTATACATATAGGACTGTTCTTCTCTCCAGGAAATGAAAGAGATTTTTGTAAAATATCTACCTTTTGATTAGACATAGGCAACTACATGATCTGTAAAGATATATACACATGACTATAAATGCAATTCTGAATCACCAAAACATCCCAAATTAAAAATACTCCAGATTTAGACATCTATATGACAGGCCACAGGACAAGAGGAATTTATATCTGATTTGAAATACTTGTCTCACAAAAGCTTGTAGGTCTAGTTAGCAGAAGTATTTGGTTACAAAGCACATGGAAATGGTGGCCTGACACCACAAATCAAAGAGCCCTGAGTTTGAATCCAAACACTGTCACCAATAGTTCTAATACTCCTCTAACTCTCAGCTCCTCATTGGCAAAGACTAACTTTCACTCTCCCCTACAATAAACTTCCAAAGAAATTCCCCAGTCTATAGTAAGATAAGCAAACTTTTTTCTGGAAAGACCAGATAGTAAGTATTTTAGGCCTGTGGTCCATGTGGTCTTTGTGCAGCTACTCAACTGTCTGTAAAGCCAGACAGGAACCATAGATAAGATGTAAATGAATGGGCTGTGTGCCAACACAACTTTATTTATGGATCCTGGAATTTGAATTTCAAAAAACTGCCCCATGTCATATTACTAGTCTCTTGTTTTTATTTTTCCCGCAACCACTAAAAATGCAAAAACAAGTGGTGTAACCACCAGACTACAGGTAAGGTCTGAACCCGTGCTGGGCCAAMAGCCAGAGCACTAGGGGTACTGGCGCCTTTCCATGCTCAGCAAGCACTGCCCCGCCCATACCCAGTCCTCACCACTCCTCCAAATGCCATGCCTGTCAGCTGCCAGGCCTTTGCTTGGCTCTTTTTTTTTTTTTTTTAATATGTATTTTTAGATGTTGATGGACCTTTATTTTACTCATTTATTTATATGTGGTGCTGAGACTCAAACCCAGTGCCTCACACATGCCAGGCAAGCGCTCCACCCACTGATCCCCAGCCCAGCCCCACCTCTGCTCAGTTCTGTCTGCAGCATCCTCCCCAACTTCTCCTGGTGAGGTCTCCCCCATTCCAGCCAGCCTGCGTGTGATGCCCGCGTACCTTCCATCCTCCTCCCTCCTTGGCTACAGAACATGCTCCTGCCCGTGGGCTCTGTAGCATTGAGCTTTGCACCATATTTCAAATGTTCATGCATCGCTTTCTCTCCCTGGATTGCAAGCTCCCCAATTAACACTTGTGACAAACACAGTGACCTCGCTAGTGGTAGTAGTGATAATTCATAGTCTGACAGTGCTTTCCCAAATATGCCCATTTAAGCCTCAGAAGGAACACTTTACAGATGAGCATCCAGAAGATGAGGAAAAATAAAGATGTGTTCGAGGCCACAGGGTAGGAAAGTGGCAGAGCAAGACTCTGAAGGCACGCCCTCCCACAATGTCAGTCCTGCTTTTCCTGCTATGCCATGCTCCTTTGAAGACCAAGGACCTAGATCCCAGCTGCGGCCACCCAGGAAGGCACTGGAGGCCGTGCTCCTCAGGCTGACACCTCAGTCCCGGGCAGTCCACCAGCCAGCCTACCTCTCCTCCTCTGTTAAGAGCTGCTGCCTCTGGAACCACTGGATGAACTTCTGGTCTGGGGTCATGCAATAGCTGTTGCAAGCTGACTGTAGGAGCTTTATTTGGGCAATCACTTCAAATTCCTAGAGCAGAMAAAACAACCAAAAGAAGTGAACAGGAAGGCCAACCAAGTCAGACCTTTCAAACATGAAAATATAACACCTTGGGATAATATATGCAGAAAACCATCTAAGCAGACTCTGAAATACTGCTAACTTGGAGTGTAGGGGTGTAGCTCAGAGGTACAGGGCTTGYCTAGCAAGCAGGAGGCCCTGGGTTCAATCCCCAGTGCAGAAAAAATAAGAAAATAATCTATCTCTGAACCTCTGAAGTTCATGTCTGCTTTAATTTTCCACTCTCTTTTCTTCTTGAAAAATTAATTCATATGAATAAAACAAGTCGCCAAGGTCAACCAAACTAGTCACCGCCCAGTCATAACGGCGTCTTTTCTCTCTTTTCCGTTTTCTTTGTAAATTATGTGAAATTTTTCTATTTCTTAAAAGAAAACAAATTCTTGAACTCCAGTATTTGTTCCCCATCCCCAGCTTCTTCAACCCTTACTTACCCTCAATAAATAAGTTCTGGTAGGGTTGAATGTCTAAACAGTCCAAGGTCTCATAAAGTTGACTGTTTAGATTTCCTGAATCCTTAGGTTTTTACTACCCCAGTAAATCATTTAACTAAGTCTTCTAAAGCTCACAAGAGAAGCGAGTATATTATTATGTCCAAACTTATTTATACTTCATTATATGTTTCAATTATTCATTTTTTAAGTCAGCAATGGGTATAAGCTTTAGCTTTAGGTTTTATATTCAGACTTTCCAAATGTTTAACATCTTAGTCTTAAAAGAAAAATGATTATCATCCAGGCTTATTTTGAAGTTAAAGGACAAAGATGGTTTACTGGGAAGGCATAACAGAATTTTTCTTAAAAAAAAAAAAAACACATCATTATAGGCTATGAGAAGTAATACGAGGACTGGCAGATCCTCTGGGTCTCAACTTTCCATCCAGTGACCCCAGCTCTTGGTCTCAATATTGTTAAGGAATTGTCATGTTAGAGAATAAAGTATACTCTGTGAGTGACAGAAAGTTTTCAGTGTCCGTGTTAGTGTCTTGTTAAGGATGAACTCAGCCTGGTTATCATGCCTATGCTCTTTTAGTTTTGACTCCAATGTCATTTTCTCCTGCATGTTTCTTGGACCCTATAGATCAGGGACAGATGTCCTTCCTATTTGCTTCTTCAAGATCTACTACTTCTGCCCACAGCCTTTATCCGGCTTTATAACCACCTATAGATTTGCCTAACTCCATCCTGGACTATACACTTTATGAGGGTAGGAGCTCTGGGTTTTCTATGCTGCAACCCCCAAGCCCCCATGTTAGGTAGTATATTTGTGGAATGAGAGAATGAATGAATGAGTAAAAAAAAAAAAAATAGAGAGCAGGGCACTGTAGTGTATGCCTGTAACCCCAGTGACTTGGGAGGCAGAGGCAGGAAGATTGCAAGTTTAAGGCCAGCCTCAGCAACTTAATGAGACCCTGTCTCAAAATGAAAAATAAAAATGGCTGGGGATGTAGCTCAGTGGTGGAGCATTCCTGGGTTCAATCCTAGTTTCAATTTTGCAAACAATATAAAACAAAACAAAGAAATGAGAGCACCATGGGGCGAATTATTTTGCTCACTCATTTTCCCTCGAATCATTTAAATGTCTTCTTAAATATAACATTTGAGACAAAAACCATAGCAAACTTCCAAAGCTGATTTATCTTTTTTTAGCACAGTTCATAACTATTCTATCCAGAGAAAGATTCAAATTGAAGTGAACATGCCTTGCTATGGTGAGAGGAAAGGAAACGAATAACTGCTTACACTTAACAGCAAAGGACATCTCTTTTCCTCTCCCCAGCAGACCTTCCAGAGGTCACCTTCTTTGTGAACTCTTCTATGTCATTTACTTTTAGGAGACCTCTCTTCTTACTAGGATGAATTTATTTTTCAATTGACAAATAAAAAATAGTATATTCAACATGATGTTTTGAAATATGTATACATTGTGGAATGACTAAACCAGGCCGTCGACCTATGAACTACTCCAGCACTCTTATCTGGAAGAACACTTAGCAGTTCTGAAGTACACAGTACATTGTTATTAAGTAGGTGAATCTGTTTTTGCTGAAGCTAGGTGTAAAAAAGGATGAGGGGCGGGGGAATTAGTCCTCATTTCATAATGGGCTTTGGAGCCACAGGAAAATATTTCTATACCTGGCTCTGTTCCCAGGTGACTCTGGTCCAGTCATGTAATCCCTTGAGTCCTGGTTTCCTCACCTTTGAACTGAGGGTCATAAGACCTGCCTCACAGGGCTCTTGGAGGCTAATGGATAGGAATGGGCCAAGCACAGTGGTATATGATCAATGTTCAGTAAGTGTTTATTCTTTTTTTTCTGCCTCTACAGAAAAACCCTTAAGTTCCTGCTTCTTTTATTTTTTTTTATGCCCAGATGCAGTAAAATGAAAAGCCACCGTGAATACCTCTACTTACCCTTCTCCTTTTTTCAAAGTTTATCAGTCCACCCTGAAAGAAATTTTAAAAAAACAAGGTGACCACCAAGTTACTTTTGAAACACAGCCTAATATTGTGCTAGATCACATTAAAATAGATGAAAGGAACGATAAAGCCTAATTTTTTAGTAGATAAACACAATGCATTTTATTTTTATGTGGTGCTGAGGATCGAACCCGGTGCCTCATATGTGCTAGGCAAGTGCTTTACCAAACAGCTATAACCCCAGCCCAAGCCTAATTATTAATGATCCTATAATTATGGATATTATGAGGAAGACAACCATCTTTTGCTTAAAAAAAAAAAACAACAACATTCTTTTAGCTGGGCGCGGTGGCACATGCCTGCAATTTCAGGTATTCAAGAGGTTGAGGCAAGGATCACAAATTCAAGGCCAGCATGGGTAACTTGGCAAGACTCTTTTCAAATTTTTTCAAAAAGGGCCAGGGATATAGCCCAGTAGTAGAACATTTGCATAGTAAACATGAGGCCTCGGGTTCAATCCCTAGTTTAAAAAAGAAAGAAAAGAGCAAAAACATTCTTTTCATTTATAATGGGCAGGTTATGCTTTCTTTTAAAATGTCTGAAATCAACTAAAATAGTAATGATGAAATATCACAAGTCAGAATCCAAGTACATTTGCAGAACCAGTGAAGACAAACGCATGAGTAAATATTCCATTACACTTGTTTCCTTGATCAAAAGCAACAAAAACAGATGGTCACTGACTCATGCTGGAAACCAAACTGTCAATGGTTTATCAAAAGGGAAGTCACTTGTGCACAGCATCATGAAAAGTTAAGTTTCAATTCTTCATCCTCCCCGGCCAACTCCTATTCTCAGTAGGCTCAACTCAATTTAACTTCTCAATCTTTGGTCACTCCCCAAAATTCCCCAACGCTGAGGGGTATTTCCTGAGATAAGCTAAGGCAGAGGGTGGGAAGAGACCAGAGCTCCAGGAAACACAAAATAAATGGACATGTCCCCAACACTGAGGACAAGCATGGAAGTGACATACAATTCTTTTTAGTTAGGATATAATGAAGCTATGACAACCCACAAAGCAGAATTCACTTAAATGCACAGCAAGCCTTAAATATCAGTTCAAATATCTAATGTCTTTCCCACTTACATCTTATTAGTTATTAACAAAGTTGGCTTGTTGGACTGGCTTTCACCTCTTTCCATGTTCCAGAAGAAAAAGAGGGAAGGAGTGGAAGGGTACACCCCAGAACAGACGGCAATACAAAATACCAAAAAATGGGAATTGAAAATTCACAAAGCTGCCTCACTTCTGACTTACTCTTGTGCCAGGGCCCTCTGCTCCTTCAGCTCTGCCTGCAGCATAAGCCCCCACACCCAGATCTTGCTCCAGGCCATGTCTGAGCAAGGCCTTCTCACCACAGCCTCTCCTGTTACTAATCACGACTACCCGCAATTTTGTAAAACTCTCTATTTCTATTGATTGCTGCCTACTTTGATATGCCCTTCCTTCCACTAGCTTTTGAGACTCAGCTGGCATTATCTTTTGGTGTTGCTCTTTGTATTTCTTGTAGCACCCAGCACAATACCACACACATTACAGGCTCCCAGTAGAGAGTAACAGAAGAAAATTTCTCTCTAGAAATCTAAGAAGAAAGCTACAGGCCCAATCGTGTTGCCTGCATGGAGCGCACCTCGATGTGATCCTGGAGAGCAGTGTCCAGCATGGTCAGGTCAGTCAGGAAGGTGCCCAAGTAGGGTACAGTGCCCTGCATCACACCCTAGGAATAATCAGAGAACAGCTGTCTTTATTGTTATTGAAAAGTTTAAGGGTTTCAGTGACCTTCACACTAGAGGACATGGACCTGTTCAAGGACTATGACTATGGGGCTCTGAGTGGTAACCTCCATGACAGGAAATTCTGAAAACCCTTCACAAATAGGAAAAGAACTTCATGATCTAAAGTCGAGCTTTCAAGTCATGACAATCAAGCCTCAAAACCAGGAAATCACAGGCATACATTCAAATGTGTTCACAGTGGGTTTCACATTTTGCTTTAACTCAGGTAAGTGGGTCGTCTGTTCACTTTTCAGAGTGTATGGACACTTGGGATGGTTTGGAATGGCCCTGGACAGTGGTGGCTTCACCACTGGTAAAGAGTGGGCCACCACACTATGGATAAGTGTGCATCACAAGTGTATATAGGGTGCCACGTTAAAATAGCCCCTCAGACTAGTCTTAGTGACTTATTTTCAAAGAATGCAAGAAAGGGAAAAACAGTAACCTTAAAGAAAGAAACCTAGCAAACTCTGCCTTAACCAAGTTATGAAGGTCAACATCAGCAGTGGCACTATCAGAGTCACACCAGATGAACCACTCACTCCTTGATATGATGTGACAAGAAGGGCACTTCTTCTTATCATTCTTCAAAAAAAACCTATAACCTTAGTCTAGTCACTTGAAAAGCAAAGACAAACCCAGACTGTTGGACGTTCTGCAGGATACCTGAACAGCACCCCTTAGGATTTCAAGGTCATGATAACCAAGAGAAGCCTGAGAAGGCATCATGAACCACAAGAGCCTGGGAGGACATGGCCATCACAGTGTCCTGCGCTGGATGGGTCCTGGGACTAATGGAAAACTGGTGAAATCCAAACAAAATCTGAGTTTTAGGGAACAGTACCACACCAGTGTCAACTTCTGAGTACTGACAGACACGCCAGGTTATAGAAGCAGCTGACAACGGGAGAGACTGGGTGAAGGGTTTACATAAACTTTAGGGTTTAAAGAATTCTGTGTAATTATTCTTGCAACTTTTCTGTACCTCTGCAATTATTTCAAATGGAATTCAGTTTTCAAAACTGCCCACTGGAGTAAAGGTAGAAGTGCTTCAATACATGACCGCAGTTCATCTGTGTCCATCTCACAAGGCCACCAAGGCACTAACCATTCTGCAGGGAACATTAAAGGAGGCTTCCAAGGACATCTCATCCTGAATGTATTAAGGTCCTTGTGGAAATTCTGGCAGGAACAGCCTCAACCGGGGCAAGGCCAGGCTGCTTGGCACGAGGCTGGCCACTTCCCCAGCCAGTTCACACCAAGAAGGGTTTTGTCCTTCAGGAATTCACTGTCAGCTGCAGTTTGTCCTTCTCATTATATGGACAAGGTCTCACCCTGAACTAAAATAATCTTTTCCCCCACTTTGGTAACAGCTATTTTTAACTTGCCTTTGAACAACCACGAAAGTTTGAAACACTGTGAGTTTTATAGGCTTTATATTACAGAAGAATCCTAGCATTCAAAATATTTTTGATTTATGTCCAGCTTTCCAAAGAAGGAGAAAATCCTTTGAAGGCAGGGATGAGAATATTTATTTTGTCAGTCTCTAATCTCCTATATCTGGTTCCCCACCTCTATGCTAAAACTTAGGAGTTTAAAAATACAGTGAACAATGATAATATCTTTCAATTTTAAGAAGAGAGGTTAGATACTCCTTTGAGTATTGAAAAACTAGAAAGGTTTGGTTAGTCCCTGGGATTAGCAAGAAGACCTGGGCAATGTCTATAGCATTTGGGAAGAAATGAAATGATCTCCGAGTACAAAGACCAAATCCTCCTGCTGGCAGACAATCCCTTTCCTTGGCCATCATCTGCCAAAAGCTGAGGAAGGCAGGAAGCCCAGGAGGCCGCTAGGCCAAGCGGGCCCCAGCACCTAAATGCAGGAGTGAGTGGGGCGGATGCACCTGCTGCAAACCTGCCCTCACTGTCAGAACAGAACTTTTCCAGAAAACATGATTTGCAGCTCTCAGTGTTCATTTCCTACTGGGTCAAATGGGAATAAAAATATCTTTCCTAAAGAACTCCCAGGGCTGCTAAGAACAAATGAAGTCAAGCCTGGAAGCCCTGCAGACTGAAAGACGCTGATGCCCAGCCACAGCCACAGGCCGCTCTCCTGTGGGCTCTCGGGAAGGAACAAAGCTGGACACACCATATCCTTCTGGAGCTGGAGCCGCCTCTGAGTTCGCTTCTGGTTTTCTTTCACACTGCTGTCCAGATTTGCAAACTTGGAGGTTCCTTCCTAAGAAAGAGCACACAGAGAGCCCAGTGACGGAGGAGGCCACTTAAAGAGAAGTGAAGGGGCACCTAGTTTCTGGAACACATCTGACATCCTCTGCACAGGTCTTGAGTGTGTGCAATGAAGAGCCGTCCAGCAGGCCGGCAGGCCATGTTAAGCAAATGCCTGGCTGGCGGTTGGCGAGTGGTCTCTGTGTGAGGCCCCGTGGTCCTGGATCATCCTGCTCTGTGAGAAGAGTGTCTGGTTTGGCTTATGAAATTGATCATCACTACCAGGCAGGCAATTCCTGGAATGGAGACATTTTTATACATCTCAAATTTCACTCAAAGTGATCTTATATCCCTGAAATGAAGATCTCTTCCTCTGTACATTTTATGATTTCTTGACATTGGCCTGAAATGGATGTGCCAGCATTCTGTGAAAGAAAAGGGACCCAATTTTGTGGTATTTCTTAGCTAAATAAAACTGCTGTACTGGAAGTTTTCTGCGGAAGTCCAGTATGCTGGCACATTACCAATTCATGAAAGCTAGACCTTCACAGATTGGTCCCCTTTCCTCAATCAATTTTGCCTCCTAGGTTTGGACCTCTTACCCATCTATCCTTCCTCCGGGCACCTGAGGACAGACAGCTACCCTTGCTCTCCTCCTGTCAACTGTAACAACAAACTCTTCGACATGATTAATCATGAATTTGCTGACTGCACACAAAGTGTTTCGGGTCTGTGGTTTCAGGGTCTTGTTAAGTTCTCGTTTTCCAGAAACTGCATGAATGGGAGGCAAATTTCACAATTCAGTAGTGTACAACCTCTACATTAGTTTCTCCTTAGTCAGTTTTTCCTGGTTTTATTATATTACCTTAGCATGTGACTCTCACTACTGTACAACTAGAAGAGGGCTATTTTCCAGTAACATGGTCTTGCTGATGGTGGTAAGGCACAGACATAGTCTATTATTAACCAGTCTTAACTGAGGTCCCCAGTACACCACCAGGGTTGGAACCCACTGTGACTCATTACCTGTTTCAGTTTTCCCTATCACAAATGATAATAAGGACAGCTACCATTTAATGATCCCCCTGGGGATTCATGATGATAGCCTAATATGTGCCACTTCCTATGCTAGGTGATTCTGAGTCCTCTCAAATTCTTGCTTGCATGAAAAATCCATGTTGTCTGACATGAACATGAGTGTACGTGTCTTTCTAATGTGATGGTCCTGCAGAGGAAACTTTGGCAGAAATATTGAACTTCTTTCTAAGGATTTCTGAAAAGTTAAAAAGCTCCTAAGAATCACAGAATAACACAGGTGAAAGGGATCTTAGAGAACACTGAGGACCACACCTCCCTCCTCATTAGTAGGAGGCAGAAAGCCCTGAAATGGGGAATAGAAGCCTTGTTGATTCCATGCCTTCAACGTTTCATGAGAGTGAGATTCCATCCTTGGCTGCAGCACTTTTAAAAAGACTCACTAATGCCAGTTCTTCCAAATGAGGTGTCAAACGAAAACCCACTCTCTGCCACAACCAAAAAGGTTCTAGTTTCTTTCCTTCCTTGGCCCCAATCTCCTACTCTGCACTGCCTCACAACGCCATCCCTTGAGCCTTCTTGAAACTTTTCATGGATTGTTGTGATGGCGTCACTCTGGTTCTTTCCTCCTGCCTCTCTTAAGTGACTCTTCTTCTGCCCAAGTCATCTTCATGCTTTTCGATATACTCACATCCTTGTAAATGCAATCCAATCCCATGATGCTAATCACCACCTGTGTGTGGATGAATTCCAAATCCTTCCCTTTCCCTCCACCCAAGTCCCACTCCTTTCCTTTCTCTTCTCTTTCCATCTCTGTCCTCTTAGCTTTTGTCTAGTGCAAATTTCTCCCTTGACTCTGACCTTTTCTCTAGCTCTTTCGCAGAGCCCAATGCCTTCACCATACTGTTCTGGGCCTCAGAGGGACTCTTTAATAGGTCTAAAAGGACCTCATCTACAAAATACTGGGTCCCTTTCAATAAATGTTGGTTAAATTAAAAGTTCAGAAGCTGCTGGTGATTTTTATTGATATAGGTCTTCACAGTTCCAACAGTCTCCTGCTCCAGCTTTGAAGGTAACATGTTATGGAGCTTCACTAAACATACATCTCCACCAGAGTCTAATTTCTAGGGCTTTCTAGAAGTTGTTACATTAATTTGACCAGGGAGAATCACAAGAAGATATGGTGATAGTTTGCTTTCCTGTTGTTTTGAAATCTGTGGCCTCTAAGATTCACTGCTTAGAATTATCTAAGTTTCAGAAATCATAAGGATATTACAAGTTGAAGATAATCATTGAGAAGAAATAGAAGCATTTTCTCTAATATTTTTAAAAGAAAAACCAAGGATTTTTTTCTTTATGTTGCCTGGATCATAATATTATAGAAGTTGAATATGACATTTACCCAGAAGTAGAAGACAGGTCATTTACAACTAAGGTTACCAAACTATAAATCAGTACAAGCCCAGGAGTAACATATCAGAAACAGAGCCCAGGAGTTTTTCACATTGATTCTTTTGAGAACCTAAGTACCTTGATTTCATTTTTTATAATTGTGTTGAGAATTCACACCCAGAATTACACACTTCATATGAAGAATGATCAACAAAGATGACAGGAAAGGGACCTACATAACATATACATATATATAGCCTGCCTAAAGCATTCCATAAACCACATGATAATGCACAGACCACATGAATTCACAGCCAAGTTTTTCATTTCTTTGGGATTCAAGCCATACATAAGAAATTTAACTTAGAGTACCAAGGTAAACTTCTACACTAAAGAAAGGTTTATGGGATCTTTAATGTCTAGAGATAGCATTGCTTCTAAGGTTTCAGCCAGAAGACTGACACTAGGTAATGAGCTGCACAATGTCCAATTTATCTACCTTGGAAGGACGACTCAGGTCTATTGGGATTTGAATGTGTGGCTCCAGTTAGTCTAGCTTTGTATTATGGATAGGGAGACCACTAAGCCATCTCCTTCCAGACAGATGGGTTTCCATTTAAAGTCTGCAAGTCCGGAGGGATATGAAGCAGGGAGTAATACAATCTCAGCAATTGTTGAATGTGCAGTTAGTCGGGTAGTTCAAATGCAAGGTCAGACACCAGCAAAAACTTCCCTGCTCATGTTATCTACTCCAAGAAGGCCTAAAGGTGGACACATTGTTAAAGTCGTATGAATGACAGGACCCATCAATTCCTGCAGTCCAACAATAGTTTCTGAACATATACTATGTGCCAGGCATTGCATCGGGCATTAGGGATCTGGTCCCTGCCTAGAAGAGCTTACAGGTCAGTATAAAGACAGGGTAAATCCATAGACATCTCTAATAGAGCATGTTATAAGTGCCAGAACAGAGAAATAATGGGCTTCTTCTAGAACACATTGGCAGGGGGTTCTTAATCAGACCTGAGGGTGTCAAGAAGTTCATACCAAGACAGGATGTAGGACTCAGGAGAAGAATCATGAAGACCATGACATGTGCCTTTACAGGAATGACTAACCTATGAGCTTTAGCTGGCATTCAACTGGATGCCTTTTCTTAGTAACCCCACCTCTACCTGACTTTCATTCTCATTCCAGTGTCCTCCCTAAGCTCAAATTTGTGGGTTTAAACTTTATGCACTTTCACTTGTTATGGACACTTTGGTTTTAAATGTACACTGCTTACCAAACACTAGAAATGGCATACATTTGCATAGTGCTTCCACATATTTTATTGTAATAATCTTCAAACCAATTCTGCAAGGTCAACAGACCCAGTAGAAATTTAGAAAAGCAGACTACAGACGATTACCACATCTTCTAATAGCCCAGTTCAGGGATTCCCCCTAGAGTAGGACATATGATATAATTTTATAATTGTTTCCATCCTACCTCTCCATGAGACTGCAATCCTCTTAAGATCAGAGATTTGGAGATCAATATGATTGCATCTTTAATACATAGCACATAATGAGTGTTCATTAATACTTGCTGAATTAGTGATTTACCTCCTCTATGAAGCTGAACCTGACCTACACTGTCCTCTGATCTCAAAGGGGCAGACAAAATAGCTTTATGCCTAAATAAGAAATGCACAGATTTTAGAGTCTCACCAGATTGCACTCACATTTTTTCTGGTTATAGTTTGGATCTGGAATGTCCCCCAAAGGCTCATATATTGAGGGCTTGGTTTCCAATGCAGCAATGTTCAGAGGTGGGGCTTCTGGGAAATGCTTGTACAATGAGGGCTCTAACCTCATGGATGGATTAATCCATTGAAGGATTCATAGATGAATGGACAACTGGGAAGTGGAGGAAATGGTAGGAGGTGGGACCTAGTTGAACAAAATGACTTCTTGGGGTCATGTCCTTAGGGACTGTATCTTGTCCCTGACTGCCCCACCTTTTTTCCTCTCTGCCTCCCAGCAGAGAGGGATGAGCAGCTCTTTTCCACCACACCCTCTCTACCATGATGCTCTGCCTCACCATGGACCCAATAGCAATGAAGCCAGCCAACCAAAGACTGAAACCATAAACCAAACAAATCTTTTTTTCCTCTTATTTGATTTTCTCAGGTATTTTATCATAGTGATAAACAGCTGGCTAACAGCTCTATCATCTAGCAGGTGTGTGCCTTAGGACATGCTACTTCCTTATCTAAGTCTTGTCTATCTTTAAAATGAAGATGACAAAATCTACTTATAGAAGGACTATAAAGATAATATCTGGCCTGGGTTCACTGCCCTCTGATGATTATTCACAAGTTGTCAACTGCAATCAACTCTAGGTGAACTTCTGGAAACAGGGTCTGTAAGTCATCTTCATATTTCTAGAGGAAGATTCAATACTTCACAAATGTTAGACACTGAACTCATTTCTGAAGTAATAAAATGATCCAAGTATACTTTTGCCTAGCATGCTGTTTAGAAGCCACCACTCACTGGTGTTCAATAAATATTGCTGATGAGAGACTATGCACTTTGGTCCAAATAAAGGATGTAGAATTGCAGGCTTGGCCTCTGTCATTGTAGGAAATATTTTACTGAGAAGAAATAGTCCAGGGCTTCTTACCCACCTGATCATCAGCATTTGACAGCTGCAGAGCAGCCGCACATCTATAAAGAGGCACATATATGTTCATAAAAAAAAACTCGAGTTTCACAATCTAGTTTAGAACAAGGAGACTAAGGAGGTAGAAGGAGAGAGTTCAACTGGGCTTTGAATTTTCTCAGCCACAAGTTGCCTAGATTACGCATAGAACACAAAAATTCTACTTTCTTATTGTACTGAAAGAACTCAAGGTGCCCCAAACTCCTCTTCCCTTGGAGAGATTCAGAACTTCCAATAGTGCTACCCAGCCCTCACCACAAGTCTCACCTTCATCAGTAGTTCCCGGCTGGTCAAATGGTTATTATGGTCTGAGAAGATATCTGAAAGTTCTTCAAACATCAGCATTCGGTCCCTATGAAGAGAGATTAAGAAAATATTAACAATGAAAAAAGAGTTAAAAACCCAAAATATTAACAATGAAAAAAGAGTTAAAAACCCAGCACCTTTGGCCTAACTGTCCTCAGCACCTACAGCTATGGAAGACTGTTTCGATCTCAATATCAGTGAGTAATGTGAACACAAATGAAGCCAATAACTTTTTCATGCAAGGTGGCTTTTATATTCTAAGATGAATGTGGCTACCTGTGTGAAGTGAGGGATATTTTCTAACCATAAGGTTAGAATTATAAAAAAAAAGATTGTTTGACTGGGACATCAAGTTATTCAACTGAGACACATTCACTTCAGTTAAGTCCACAGGGACCTGAGGCACAATCGTGGCCAAGCCCCTTATTTTAAATAGGAAGATGTCATGGCCGGAGGTTCGCCCAAGTTTCCACTAGTCACTTGGAAGTTAAACGGACACAATCTGAATGTTCAGAGTCATAGGCCAGTGTTCTTGCTCCTAGTCAGAATAGAATTGGGTTGGGGGTCATGATGGGCTCTGCAGGTAGGGAGGGGATATAGCTTCAGATCTCAACTCTGGTGTTACTTCCTGAGTGATCCTGGACAGGTTGCTGAGCTCCAGTTTTCTTATGGGTACAATGGAAATACTCCCACCCATTATAGGCAGCTGTGAAGGTAAGTGGGCGACACAAGCAAAGCACCTGCCTGCCCTTGCCTCCTGCCCTGTACATGCACCTCCACAGGCCTCCTGCTCATCTCCCCACACCCCTCCAGGGGGACTGAGTGGATAATTCTGAAGGCAGGGGATGGTTATAAAATGTTTTATACCTGCAACATTTTCATTATCATGAAAAAGCCATTATTAAGAACTCATTTTTTTTATTACAAGAAGTATAATATCACTCTTATAATAGTGGAAACTATTAAAAGGTATATATATTTTGAGACAATAGTTAAGAACTTAACTACATGTGGCCCTAAATAAAGAGAAATAAATATCCTCTGTCTATGGAAGGCTAGAAATATGAAGGTCTAGAGGCAAAGTTACAACCAAGTAAGAAATCTTGACCCTGTTCCATGAATTCAGCAAGGGACAGCATGCAAAACTGATGTGGAAGGGTCTTCTCTGAGGAAGCCTGACACTCCAGCATTCCTGCTACCACATCCACCAACCATCCAACCAGGAAACAAACCAGACATGTAGAACAGAATTCAGCTTTGAAGATTTTTCATTGTTTGTTTTTGAAGAATAGTTTAAAAAGCCAGCTGGAAGAATGGGCCTTCCCATCTGGCTACCACGGAGACTAAGATCCAAGCCCACTATTGTTTTTACTTGTTTATTAACCTCAAATTTTCTGTAGAATGAATCTTAGGCTGACTAGGTGACTTTCCATAGTGTCCTATTAGTCAACCACCAAAAACGCACAGGGTTACCTATCACTGCAATTAGAGAAGGCTGCGTGTTAACACCCAAGAACCCCTTTGTTTTTGATGCCACAGGTGGGTGGGAGGCAGTGATTACAGCGGGTGTAAGGATGAGGGCATTGTAAGCTGCAGATTCTGGTCCTATTTCACCAGGTACTACCAGCTAGTGATTCCACACAACCCATACTTTTCCTGAGATACATGTGCAGAGGAAAATCAATCAACTAATCTTTCACACAGAGTCATCTTCATTAAATAATGAAGAAGAGAAAGAACCCAAGAAAAGAGTTGGTAATCAAGAACTCTCCACTGGACTTTGAAATGCTTGCCTGTCTGCCCATCTGTCTCCTGATGATGGTGTTATAAACAACACTCTAGCTTTGGAGTCCAAGTTGCAATAGCTTCCACAGCTCTGTAGGGTGAAGCATTAAGATCATCCATTTTATTTTTCTCCTTTTATCAATCAAAGAACTATAAACAATGCCAGCTTCTCCCAAGTAGACTATCCCCTGAATGAAAACATGAGCTTATCAGTAAGTGTGAGTACCCTGGTACTATTTTCCAGCATAAATTTATAAAATTCTGTCTTGCTCATGGGGATCTCTTGCAAGTTTGAACGGTGTCAGTCCCCAAGGGCTTAATCAGCTCTGACTGAACTAATGAAACTGACCTGGGCCGTCCACTCTGAAACAAATCTATTACACTCCCAGGGCAGCTGGCTCCCGAGCCAGGGCTGCCCCTCCTGACCAACACTGACTATCCGGCTAGACTATAAAGCATTTACTCATTCTTCTCTGATATAGTGTGACAGGCCGATTAGTTCAAACTTGGGAAGATTTGAGTGTAGCTGACCTGGCTGGTACCCAAGACAGAACCCCCAGGCTCTAAGTCTGAAACCAGAATGGCCCACCCCCACCTTCTCGCCTTTACATAAAGTCCTCTGGTCTTCCAGCAAAGTTCTGGAAATAGAAGATGGTAAGAGTAAAATAATAAAGGAATAACACTGTCAATTGTTTCAAAGGCTGCACAAAGAAATGTGAAAGAAAAACAACAAAGAACATGGCCAGTTAATAACTTCCATTAGGTACCCAGGAAGGGTTTCCTCCTGACCATCAAGAATGAATGCCCTAGCTGCACATGCTATCCCTCACATTCTGGAATAGCTCAGGGCTTTAGAACGAGGCTGAAAAATAACCAGAAGTCATGGCAAATTGCTGTAACTTCATCACTCTACAACCCGATCCCTAAAAATGCAGATAATAAGCACATCCTTCAAATCAGCCCCACAGCCAAGAATCTTGGCTTTGGCACACTTTGAGAATGAGTTTGATTCCCGCAGCAGCCCTGCCTCAAAACTCACTAATAATTATGAGTAAAATGCACACTGCCTGGAACACACGGAGGAGTTCAAATATGAACCTCTCCTCATATCATATGAGCTTGGAAGGTGAAGGCCTGTGGCACTCCTGCAGCAACTAATCACGCCAAAGAAAAGAAGAGCAGAGCCTTGGGGACTTACTTTGGGACAGCAGCCCAAGTCTTCTTCAACCGGTAGATGGAATTAGACTGCAATGCTGAAACGATGGCCCTCAAGGAGGAAAAATTCTTCAGGATTCTACATTCCTGTACGGGGAGTGATGGAGACATAAAGGCATTTAAATATCAATATTCCAGTGAGTTGGTGGTTTCCTGTTTTAGAGGTATCACAGCTGCTATGAATTCTTACCACTAAACAGGCAGCTGTATAAATACTGAACATCAAAAAGTGGCTCCTTCCTCCCACCCCAGTCACCGAAACACTTTATAGATTTTGGCACCGTATGCTTGTTTTTCTCCCTTTAATATATTTTTGCCTTGTTGTTACAATTTTATAGCTTCCAGCTTTCCCAGTAAAAACACAAATGGTGGTGGGCCTACAGAACTGTGCTAGAGAAAGCAACTTTTTCTTCTGCTAAAAGCACACACATATGAAAACACATATGAAACACCACTGTAGCCTTTGGACCCATAGAGTGAACTGGCAGCAACCACTCGGAGTTCAGATGGTATCAAACATCTCATGAGCAACCCTTGTCCTGAGAGGTGTATATAACTTGGCAATAAAAATTCACCACGAGTTGAACTTTGGCTTTTATGCTCTTAGCCAAGGGGGAATATTTTTATACACATTCATTTGGTTTCAAATTGGCTTGCCCCACAGTCACAAACATTCAGAAACACCTTGGTACTTCAGTGCTTCCAAAATAACTTGGTCTTTTAAAATGAGATTCGTTTTGGCAGTGTTTTAAAACAAAACAGCAAAAGAACAGGGAACATTCTAGATGTCATTTTCTGGGTAAGGAGAAGGGCTGTCTGTTTAAGCAGCCATGAGGACCATGCAGATAACATCAGCAGCCGGTGAACTTGGAGTCAAGCCTGCTGAATGAACAGCAAGGACAGAAAAACAGCCTGGGACAGGGTCCCTGTTGTTGGTTGCCATGGGGAAGCTGGTGACATCGGGAGTGGGCCATACCTATGTCAAAGGAGATGCTTTAGATACAGGCACATGGGAGTGCAAGACGACTGCCATTTTCTATGGAGCACGTTGTGTGCGTTCAGCTTTGTGCAGAACATACGGGACAAGAGGTCCCAGAGTGGTTGGGAGCACAATGCAAATCTCCTTAAGGATCAATTCATAAAAGACTGTGTGCATCCTGACTATGAAGGATAAACAGCATTCTTTAATTTATCATGCCAAAACCTGGCTCCTAGAAACCATGCCAAACAGCCCTCAAACATTTTCTTTAGAGTAAATGTTAATGTGTCTTATAAAAGTCATGCCCACCTATTTTAAATGCCTCAATATCTCCCACCCTACAGAAAGAAAGAGAGAAAAAGAGAGACAGCAAGCAAGCAAACAAGCTAGCTAGCTCTAAATTGCAGTATGGAAACCAATCCAGTGAGAGCACAGTTCAACAAAGGTTCAGAACCCAAAAGTTACGTTCTAAAAATCAGGAAACTTGCAATAAATAAAGGAACGCAGGCACAGAAACATCATGCAAATTGTAATAAGCATATGGAACATATTATTTCCAAAGAGGTTAAAATGGAGGGTTTAAAGTAGTACAAAAGGCATCTGGTCCCATTTCTAGAAAAGGAGGCATTTTCAGAAGACAAGACATGGAAATAAAACTGCAGCATTAAAGACTAGTCCAAGACAATACTCAGATTAGGTCAGAAATATTTTCTGCATGTAAAATTATTATCATTTTCTCAAACATCTTTTCAGTAGAAATCAACTGTGACAAATGCAGGAAAAGTAAAATAAATCTTGGCAGGAAACTGCCAGCAAGTTTCATTATTTCATTAAGTTAAGCTACACAATTTCAAGATACAACATACTCAACGCTAGAAAAATGTATCATCAAAGGTAAGGAAGGAATCTTGACTCTTTTTCCTATGCTATGAGACCTGGGATATAATTCAAATTTTCAAACTGCATTTCTTATTATCATACAAATGCACAACTTACATTTAACTTAGACCAAAAGGCATTATTTGATCCATACTATGCCATACACATAGAAGCTACATTTTTGCTCTAGACTTTCTAATTGGTTGAAGGTTGTGGGTAAATATGCCATTGGCTTTTTTTTTTTTTTTTGTACCAGGGATTAAACCCAGGGGCACTCAATCATTGAGCCACATCCCCAGCCCTATTTTGTATTTTATTTAGAGACAGGGTCCCCTGAGTTGCTTAGCACCTTGCCATTGCTAAGGCTGACTTTGAACTTGGGATCCTCATGCCTCAGCCTCCCGAGCTGCTGGGATATTACAGGCATATGCTACCCCACCCAGTTGTCCATTGGCTTTTGAGACATGTAGAGCACTATAAATGCTGTGGCATTTATGGGGAAAAAAATTTCCTTATCATTTGAAGAAAGAGAAATTCCATGCTAATATCATATTCCATCAGAACAACATCTTTTGTAGTTGTCTGCTGAGAAATAAGCTCAATTTTGAATACGAGAAATTTAAGTTGCAACTTATATTGTTTTTTATTCACTTTTTTCATATGCTAAAAAGTCTGTAATAGTAAACCACCTAAAGACTCAAAACAAGGCCAAATCTCTGGCACAATTATGTCCTTGCTTTTTAATCAAGAACAACAAAAAAGAATGTTAAAGACTTAGGCTTTATGCCCCACAGACAGGGGCTTAATGAAAAATATATCCAAAGAGGTATAAACAAAATGTGTTTTGGTTGAGGGTTGACCCATAGAGTCCAGAATACAAACTTTAGGGTATCTACATAAAAATTAATTTTTCAAAATCATTTTTTTGCTTATAAATGATTTCTTCAGTCTAGAAAAAAATTAAAAATCTTTAAATACCAAAAATCCTAGTATTCAAAGCTAAATTCAAACATCATACCTCATCCATGAAGCCCTCCTTCAATACCCTAATCTGGAGGGATTTCTCCTCCTCCATGTTAACAGCTCTTAGATGGCTGAATCCTCTACTGCCCAGGCTGAGGTGAATTCCAGTAAGCCCTTGCCCCCATAGCACTAAATCACTTATATTCTATCCTGTTGTGTCCCTAAAGTACATAATATTGTAGCATATGCATATTAAGAGCTCACAAAGTATATGGGCAACTAAATACAGTCGTTTTCTCAGTCATAACACAAGAGGCTGATAAGTGAAGGTCACGTAGCACGTAAGCAGTTGACCCAAGAGCTTGGACTCTGACACTCAGCAGGATGCAGTTCAGGCCTAGGAATGTTCTGCTCCCTTCCAACTTGAGGTTGAAGTTGAAAGGGCCTCAGGTAGGCCCCAGACTGTGAGTTGTGTATAAAGGTCTCAGTCCTTCAGGAAAGAGATTCAGGATTGTGGGGAGGCAACAGCTCTTCAAATCTACAGAACAGGCAACACTTTCAGGTACTGGGATGAAGACTGATCTGTTTAACAGAAACTAGGGGTTATATCAACCAAACACAGTGCAGAGACCCAGAGATACTCAGACTGTGGTGCATAGAAAGGAAGAAGCAGACAGAATGTCTTGCCCCAGAGAAGCAGCACTGTGAGGTCAGGAGTAGAAACAAGAAAGTAGGAGACCAACTGATTACTTCAAGAGGGAAAATAAGATCAGCCCCCAAGGTAAGAAGAAACACTTTCTTACTTTGGAATAGCAACAGTAACAATGGAAACCCAATGAACCTTAAGGTACAGGCAGTGACATGGCTACACCATCTGGACAGAGCCATGGAAGAGTGTCCAGTGTCTACCACACAAAGAATATTTTTAATAAAACAATTACATGAGCAATGTTAATCCACTTCTCGATGATTTTGGCTCTCTGCTGGGTTTTGAGTTCTTTGCCCCCAAGGATGGTGCTGACAACACATTTGGTGAGGGTATTAAACTGAGAGATGGTAGCACGGATCGTAGGAGCCAAATGTTTGTTTTCCTTCTTATCCCTTTGAGACCAAATGCAGCCCAGGCAGTGGTGAGGCACTACTCTCTTGAATAGTTGCTGGAACAAAAGAGGGATTGACATTAAGGACAGCAGAGGCATTTCATACAGCAAAGCACATCACCTGAGTCATCTGTAAATTGGTATTCCTGGGCGGACAAATAAAATAAAATTTTTCTACTTGAATTGCCTCATGGTGTCCATTTTAATAGACAAAAGTAAATAATTAATATATGTAATGAGTCAGATAAGTCTACATGATCTTTTTAAATCTGCTCAAGTGAGCAAATAGAACACAATGACCAAAAGATACTTTAAAACACCAAAAACATTTTGACTTATCTGTCTTACAAGGAAAGTCAAGTTAAGATCTATGCTACTGATCAAAAAAAAAAAAAGAAAGAAAAGAAAAAAAAGTGGTTCAGGTTATTTTAACCTCAAAATCCTAACCATGGTGTATTCTGGGCACTCTGATCATGAACTGTCTACAATGCTCACTGAACATCTGAACCTGAAAAGTGATCCACAGAAGTACAGCATGTGCCACATCTGTCAATGTCACCATTTCAAATTCTTTAAAATAAAGAAACTAAGAATTTTCCCTGTTTTAACAGGGAAAACTATTTAACCCTACACAGTGAAAGGAAGAAAGAGAAATGGAAAGCCTAGTTTTCAGGCCTTTTCCTGAAAGTAATAACCAAGATGATGAAGTTTTCCATTTTTTCCTGCTATCAGTTGTGCAAACAAAAAAAAAATTTTGTTGAACAAATCAGATTCTTATTTGTGCAACAATTCAATATAAAATGTTTAGAAGTTTGCATGAGAGAGCGAACACCAGAATTTACTTATTATAGACTATCTGATTTACCTCTGATACCTTATTTGCATGTTCATTAAATGGAAACTTTTTGCCAATTTATATATTATCTTCTCAAAAGTAAGTACAGAAGAGCTAAAACCATTGTGATAATTCCTAATAGTCCCCTTTTCTTTAACTGGTATTTACCAGCTAATACTGAGCTCTGAAATGTAACTGACGTAAGCAAATGTGTAGCAAAAATATTCAAGCTTCAAAAGTACAGGAAGCACACGTGGAAATGAGCTGCCAGATATGGTCACATGTGGATTCAATGAATTTATTTTATCCTAACTTGTACTTTGACCCCTTTACAATCCTCCAAATAAACAGTTCAGCTCTTGAAATATTTATGAGTCTAAAGGGAGAGAAATACCCATGGATTGGGTAGATTATGTTTCATTAGGATTAGAATTCTTATTTCCCTCTGTGACTTGACCTCCAAGTAAAATGCACCCTCAAACAGGATTGCAAGAAGAGCCCAGGTTTGAATTATTCAAACGATTGATTCAAGTCACATTTTAACTCTGCATATACAGGGCACAGCCTCTCAAGGATTCAAAGTCTTCAACCGCTTTATCCTTAAGGACTGTCCAGGCTACCAGTACTGTCCCTGTCCCATGTTTTAAGTGGAAGCACATCTGAGACACACAGAGAGGACGTACTGCATCCATGTAGGTCAGCTGCTCCGCCACGAGATCTTCTGAGAAGCTCGTGAATTCTGCTGACCCTCCTCCCTCCAGTTCCTCTTCCTCTTCCAAGCTGAAGGAGATGATGTTGGGAAGCCCATCTGTTCACATATGGGGGGAAAATCAGTAATGGGTGCCACTGGATATGACTTTGCTTATAGAGTCAAACTGGACTTCTTTCATTTAGGATAAAGAGGGTTAGGCCTTCAAAAAATTTAGGGTAAGTCTGTTCTGAAAATCCATAGGGGGAGGAGAGTTAGCACAAAAAATCTGAGCAAAATGGAACAAACTCTGCTTGTTCTCTGATTCTTTATCAAGTTCAGAGGCCTCATGGTGTCACTATAACAAATCATTCCTAGGCCAGGATACATAGAATCTGGAGAAGCAAAGCTGGGCCCATATTCAGAGGGAAACTTCATCTCAGGCTCCACAAACTTCTTGATCAACTCCAGCACTGATCCAGCAAGTTCCTTCACCAGTTATACAAATCTTGGTTCTTAGGACACTTAGAAGCAGATCCCTTTAGGACTGGGACAGGAAGGAAGACCAGGCTTTGGGAGTAGGATGGCCCAGTTGGGTGTCAGAAATGCTCATGAAGCCTGAGGAATTCAGTATTCTCAAAATGTTCGCAGCTGCTATCAGCTTCCACCCAAAGCTAAGTGTACATGAAACACAACAGACTTACCCTAAATTCCCCTGAGCCTTATTATAGATAAGACCATCAGTTAGCAAATTACATAGGGCACAGCCTGAAGAAGAGAGAGAAAATCACTACCCAAGGCTCCAAATAAACTGAAGAGCTTAGGACCTGAAATAGGACGTCAGTCTCCCTCGGAAAGATGGGAACCAGATGAAGTTTGACTTGCATCCCAGCCTCCCTTCCCTGGGACCTTTCTCCAGTCCCTGGGTTGTTTCCCAGCCTCATTCCCCTTCACACTCTTCACTCTCCTCTCTGTTTAACCTGCTTTTGTTTTGTTTTGTTTTGTTTTTTKGGGGGGGGAGTAGAGAAAATCTAGTTGCATCTAGTTGCATTTGGTTATATCTTAGCAGAAATTTAGATATTTAAATTAGTGTTACTCCTCTTCCCAGATTATATGTTTTAAGCCATTTCTCTTTTTTTATTCAATGGATGGCTATTTTAGACATCTTGGATCAAGCTGGTATGGCTTTTTCTGTTTTCTAGGAGAAAAGGGGTGCTGAGAGTAGATCCTACGCCCTTTCCTTGTCAGGGTACCATACGGTATCTGCCCACTCTAATGGCAGGGATGTGACTTAAGAATTGGTCCCAGACTCTAGAGTTGAAGGTCCTGATAGAAATGGTGTTGAAATATAACTAGAAAAAGTTGCAGGAATCACTGTCTACCCCTGGAGTCTGGGACACAAACAATGTACAAGCTAGAGGAGCTAAGATACCTTGATATATCACTTTTCCTGCCTACAACTCTAATACTCTCTCATTAAGTGGAGAAATAAGAAATTTGGGATCTCAACCAAAGGTTCAAAAGGTATCTCATTCCTCTTGACAACTACTATATAAATATATCCAAATATATGTAAAGCAATGCAGAGGCTGGCCCACATTAGCTAAGAAGTCTATGTGCTGAGGCTGGACCTTCTTCTCATCATTCATTCAACAAACACTTGCCACAATCTGGTGCATCTAGAATGTCCTCAAACATACCATTCTATGGTTCCTTCTCTCTGGGCCTAGTTCATCCTACACTGTTGCAGCTTCCCTCTCTCTTCCAGAGGTGTGTAAAAACTAACACATAATATTACTTTTGAAAAACACAGGAAAGCTTGTAGCTTTTGCCAGCATGACAGTGGATAAATCACGCATATGGGAGCCAAGCTCCTAAAACGGCTTTTCGGTAATGACTCCTCTACTTAATAAAAAGAGTTCAGAGCCTTCTTGATTAAAATTTCCCAAACTTAGAAAAAGATTCATTTTGGGGGATTGCCTGAAAGCTTTTGTGACTGCTTGCAGTCTCCCTCTCCCCTGCCTCGGCCTGCCAAATGAGCTCTGTCTTCCAGTCCCTGGGCTGGAGACAAGGAACGACTGGTCCCACTGGTTCCCCAATTAGGCGTGGAGCCAGGGGCAGCCCCGATGGGGGGCTGGGCTCCAACACAGCATTTTCCACTCAGCACAAAGCCGGGTGGGGAGGCCCTGAAGGGAGCTAGGTTGCAGCTGGAGGAGCCCCTGGTATTCAGGCATTCCCGGCAGATGAAGTCATCGGAGATAGAAAGCCTTTGGCAGCTGGCTTCTAATGATGCAATTGCATTCCCCCTTGCTGGTCCTGGGACATAAAAACTTCATCAGGTACCGTGTGGAATTTAAGGTTACTGTACTTTCCCTGGAGCTGAAGCTGCTTCCCTCACCTGTGATGAGGACCCACTTCCTTTCCCTCACTGAAGAAATTGGGCTCCGCTTCAGGGATTTGCCTGTCAGAAGCTCCACATGGGTCAGCCACCATAGCAACCGTTACCCAGCACCCAGAGGGAGGGATAAAACATCACCTTGAAGCCTGTTCCAACCTCTTACTTAATTTCTTCAAAGCCTAATAGTTCTAAGCACCCCATAACCTGCAGAAGTGGCCCTTCCTTGTCCTTGGAAATTGGAGGTTAATTCCTCAAATAGGAATAAACACCCTCAGAAACTTCCACTGATGAAGCCATTAGAGATGTTAAGCGACAGTCATCTGCACATCAGGGGACACAATAGGGTAACACACTTTTTAAATAGAAGGAGAAACACCTTCTCTAGCTTTTGTGGCAGCAGGAGGGTACTGGATTTAATCCCTTGACTGCTGGATAGTAGTTATCTGTGATCAGTTTACATTTGATAGAAGGATCCAGCAGGCAGATAACAAAAAGCATATTCCATTTCAGCATGGCACACACTGGCAAGGGAAGACAAAGAATCTTCAAGGAAACTCTCTTCTTGGTCATGGAAAAACCCTAGGAAATTAATTTCTCTGAGCCAGTTTCATCTATGAAATATGGAGCCAGACTTGGTGGTATTGAGAATCCCCCTTTATTTTTGCTCTAGACCTTAAGGACTCTGTAAGAGCTCTTCAATAATTTGATGTCCCCCACCAACTTCCCAGCAGCTTGTCCTTCAGGGTCACAGGGCTTCCCACTCGGCCAGTCAGCATGTACTCACTGTCAGTTTCCACATCTTGCTTCTGAAACTGCTCAAGAAGATTTTGTGCTCTTCTCTCCGGGTCAGAGCCTGGCATCATCCGTTTGAGATAATCCAGCAGTTTCTTTAAGCAAGGGAAGAGGGGGGGCTCTCGGAAATCTTCAGCACATTGGTCAAGCCAGGCCCTCAGGATGGAAGCRATTGCACTGAGAAAGAGAAATGGAGAATCACACTTACCCACTTGCCTGTAGGGACTCTAAGCAAGCCCTGGACATCAGTYCTATTCCTGGTGTGCCCCAGGGAAACTTGGGCTGGTGGTCAACAGGTAACTAGCCCACAAGTTCCAAAAACATCAGTGGACTTGAAGCATTTGAAAACAAGTTAACTATTCTTTATTATTTTAAGTAGTGGCTGAGGGAGAGGAGGAGGGGAGACCAAAAAGGTTAAAAAGAAAAAGAAAAAGAAACCTAAATTTTGGGAAAATCCATCCAGGGCAGAAAAGGACATGCAGATTTAGTGAGTTCTGAGGGCAACTTCAAAGCAATCTGCACACAATGGCATTATATAGTTTCCAGTTCTGGACTTGCTCAAATCAAAGACCACAAAATGTACTATACTAATATTTTAGGAGACAACTCACTATCACCAGGCCAGAAATCCTGATGAAAGGAAGTGTCTAGGCTTGGAAAAGATAAAAAATGTCCTCATAAAATTATTCTCATATTCTTCAAATGACAGAGGAGAGATGTTTCAAGTGGGAGGAATAGTGAGGCAGAGAGGTTAGATCTCTGGAAGATAAAGAAGAAAACCTTGGTAAGCAAAACCACTGTGAAGGTGACTTCCTCTCAGGGCAGGGCAAGGGTCATATGCAGGGTCCACTGAGGGTAAAACATGGTTCCAGAGTGCAAAGAATCAGGCTCACTGTGTGTGCAGATTCTTACAGACATGTTGCTGATAACCTCAGGGTGCTGTCTTTAGGTCTGGGGAAGCCCCTCACTCTAGGGAAGAGACAGATGAATGACAAAAAGGATAAAATGGAAGCCAGGAGCAATGGCACATACCTACAATCTCAGCTACTTGCAAGACTAGGGCAGGAGAATCACAAGTTTGAGGCAGCCTGGGCACCTGAGCAAGACCCTTTCTCGAAGTAAAAAAATAAAAAGGAGGTGGGTGTGGTGGTGCAGGCCAGTAATCCCAGCAGCTTGGGAGGCTGAGGCAGGAGGATCACAAGGTCAAAGCCAACCTCAGCAACTTAGCAAGGCCCTAAGCAACTCAGTGAGATACTGTCTCTAAATAAAATACAAAGAAAGGGCTGGGGATGTGTCTCAGTGGTTAAGTACCCCTGAGTTCAATCTCCTGTACCAAAAAATAAAAAATAAAAAGGGCTGAGGAGGCAACTCAGCCCCTCCCCTCAAAAAGATAAAATGTTTTGCATGCCATTCTTCTATGCTTCATATTCAAAGAAAAACTCAGGCATTTGCTGTGTGGTGTCCCACAAAGAAGAACGGACACTGCCTAACAACCACCACCCACAGCCAGGGAGTATTCATTGGTGAGGATTAGAGAAAATGTCAGGGACTATAAATTAACCTGTGCATGTTTAATTGACAGAGATATAACATGTGGTCTTAGCCAAAGACCTAACAGAACTTTCTCAGCCAAAATTATTTTTTTTAGCAAATTTTAAAATCATCATCATCATCAAACTGAGTTTCAAACAAATTGTTTATTTAACTAACAAACTATGACTTGATTGAAGGTTATTATTACAGGTGTGTGAAACTGCAGGCTGGCTGGGCCTTCACAGGTGTATCCAACTTTCATGTCTCAATTTCAGACTAGAGAACTGGATTAGAATCAAAGCATAAATAGGACTAAAGTCCACTGAACACTTAAATTTTTGAATTGAAGTCCAAGTAGGAAGAGAATTAAAGTGCTGTTTTCCCTACTGTGTACATCCCTGTTTCACTAATGTGGACTATAAGGCACTTGGAATTAAGATATCAGATTATCTACATCCAAAACAGATGGCATAAAACTATCAAATGAAAGGTACAGAAATAATSTAACAGTCTAAATATTTAGTCCAGATTAAATAAAAGTATAAACAAAAATTTTATTTTCTTCCAGGAAACTGGAAGAAAGCAAYCTGGGATCTAGGTTTAATTGAAAATATGAGTAAAATGAAATCAATGGATTTATATTTTGAAGGCCTCACATTGTATTAATTATTTCTTCTTTCTTCACAAAAACCAAGTATCATGAATTAAAGAAAAAAATGACAAAGCACCATTCTCATACTTCCTTTTTATAAGGAATAGTTTTCCTTTCTATCTAATAAGCAGTGAGCCCGGAACTCTGACGGGCACGTAGGTGGAGTGACAGACTAGAACACTGGGAAACCTAACATTTGAATACATCAAGTCAATCCTTACAGAACGCTGTTGTGCTTCTCAAAAAAAGGATGCATTTATCTAATGGCCACTACTCCCATGCTATTTCAGTGTCTTCCAATGACACTGGTGGAAACAGATGAGGAGAGGTGGTAATTCACTCCACATGTAAAAGTTAAAAAGGGCATTGGTCTGATGATGAGACAGACAGCCCAGTGACCCCTCAGAACTTAAAGAACTTCCATACAGAAAGTCAAAATTATAGCAAGATCAATGATACTCATATATCATTGGCTCCTTACCTGTCACACTGGCTAATTTTAAAATTACTAAATTCATTATTCATTGCAAAAATAATAAATCTTACAAATATGTATAAACTAAAAAAGCAAAATATCTATTCTCCCACTTCATTCCAATCCCATTCCCATGACCCATAAGTTTGTAGTATATCCTTCTAGAATTTTCTGTGAGTATGTACACATATTTAAATACATGTAATATGTATCTGTAAGTCCACTGAGCAGTACCATGTGGACCAACTCTCCATTCACCACCTCTAGATAGAGTTTAATGTTTTATGGTTACACAGTATTCCACTGCACAGAGGCTCCATAACTAATTCAAGTATTCTTCCACTGATAGGTAGATTATTTCAGTAATTTCCAATTTCTCATGATTACAGTTATAAAACATTGCCCTTACTTCTCCCTGGGTACGAGTGTGAGAGGTTCCACACAATGGGGCCCATGGAGAGCAGCAGCCCCCGAGGCCTGAGGGAGTACTGAGAGGAGGCTTGGTCTGGATCACACTTGTCCTGAGGTGCACATTCTGTCCTCCTCAATCTGTAACCAGCTCTGGGAATCTACTCATTTTGCCCTTTGTGGCAGTGACCTTCCCACAGYTCAGCCTAAAAGACTCTGAAAGTTCACTGCAAAACAGACACTGAGTTTGCCAGAAAAGCATTTTCACACAAAAGAGGAATAAACGGAAGGAGGAAGAAGAAGCAGAGTGAGGGAAAGACGCAAACTGCACAATGAAATGGGAGGCAGCCCCCTGCCCTCCGAGCCAGCAGTGTTTATCAGCATGCCAGGGAGGGAGGCTTTCTGGAAAGGCCTGGACCCCTGCCCGAAGCTCACAGTAGCTTTATGTTTGCCAATCCTGGGAAGAAACTTTCCGTTCTTGATAGACTAAGAAGTGGATACAAATGTGAACTTTTAAGATTCCAAAAGGAAAACATCACAGTCACAACACAATTACTGGACCCTGTTACCCTGCTGGCTCCACTTCTAACAGCCAAGTCACACACTAACCAGAACCGAGGGGAACAATRTTGAAGTCACAAATCTTCAGGACAGGTGTGACTGTCAGACCAGAGAAGTCACTTGGCTCTGGGCAGCACAAGAAAGGAGACTGGAGAAGGAAGCTTGACTCCTCCCAGGAAGGGCCTCCTGGGAACGGTGGCTTCCAGTGGGTCAGTCAGCTCCACTCCTATGTGGAGAGGACACGGAAATGCCTGCCTTCATCCACCTGACACTGGTCAGCTGAGATTTCAAATGACATACTGTCACTGAAGGACATTCTGAGACACCTGAGACAGACAGGACTGTTAACAGTCTTACAACTACTTGTCAAAAGTCACAGAAGGGAGGGACTGGGAACCGTAAATGGCTCAGTGAAATCAATCAACAGTCAAGAGAAACAACTCAAAGCATTTGCCACCTGTCACAGAAAGAACCACACAGTGCAAACTATGCCACAAAACGTGTGGCTCCAAGCCCGCTGGAGGAAAGTAACTAATGTGAACAACTACACACGAGGGTGCAAACACACACACCAGCGGATGCTCTCTGGAACAGATCAAAGACATCAGATTATAGCATTGAATTCAAGAGATGATTTCTGAATGACTTTCGAAGACTAAGAAGTAACTTCTGACAGAAAACGGAAAGCTGAAGATTGTGATGTAAACTCAGGAAGGAGAAAAGTCCGTAGGTGACCTCCTTTTCCAGAGTAATCTTTGGTGGGTTAGATCGAACTCTTCAGTCCTGAGAAGAGGTGTCAATCTGATTAAGCACATGAGGAAGGTGGCCAGGGGCAGCAGCCCCAACCTGACAGCCGAGGGGACACCAGGACGTGTCCCACCTCAGGCAGTCTTGGCAACATAGCAACTCTTCCAACCTGCTGCCACGTCCCGTGGGGAAAGGAAGGCAGGCTCCGACGTCAGGAGGGGAACTCACTCATGTGGCTTCTAAGGCTTTTCCTTCCAGGAAGCAGATTCCTGGGAAAAATTAATTCACTGATGAGGCCAATAATTATTGGCTGCCCTTTATTATTTATGTGACAGTAGGGGAGTCCAGGATCCCATGGAAGCTTTTAACTTCAGAGGGAGCCAACTTAGTCCAGGCTTCTGCGAGGGCCTTCCTGAGGAAATGATGTTCAAGTTGAGATCTTAAGGCTAAGGAAGAGTCAGTGGGGCAAAGACGGAGCCCACAACAACACAAGCAAAGGTCCAGAGGTGAGAGACCAAAACACAGAGCTTTAAAGACCTGTTTAGCTGAAGAACAGGGAGGGGAAGGAGGCAGCACAGTGAGGTGCATTATGCTTGTAGATTTGTAGCCAACCAGAAATCAGCCTTCATACACCTGCTAGATGTCTTGGCTGAGAGGGACAGGGTGACAGAATAAAACTTCCAGGCCCTTGGGGCCCTGTAGGCCTACAATGCAGAACAAGAGGGCCTGGGTGAGCACTGAAGTATGGTTATGCTCAAACCACAGATTCTAATAAATGCAGAGATTTCGGGCAAATGTATT